CGGGTTTGGTTGTCATCTCGCAACATCAAGCTTAAGGTCCCTAGCATGAAGTTTGCCCCCAGATTCCTTGGTCCCTATAGAGTGCTTCGTAGGATCAATCCAGTGTCTTACTCTCTGGCTCTTCCTGCATCTTTAGGGATTCCCAACACTTTTCATGTGTCCTTACTCAAACCTCTTGTCTGCAATAGATATACTGTTCCTTGTGTTCCTCCCCCTCCGGTGGTGGTGGGTGGTCAGGAAGAGTATGAGGTATCTTCTATCGTGGATTCTAGGTTTTCTCGGGGCACTTTACAGTACTTGGTTGTTTGGAAAGGTTACGGTCCTGCTGATCGTTCTTGGGTTTCGGCTCCTGACCTGCATGCGGGCCGTAAGATCCGCGCTTTTCACGCTAAATTTCCTCTCAAGCCTGGTCCTGTCCGCCCGGTGGGCGTTCTTCAGGTGGGGGGTAATGTCACGTATTCATCCGCTTATAGAAATGTGGTTAATGACATTTACTGTCCACACAGGAAAAGTTGTGCCGAGCAGCAACCTAATCCACAGAAGGTTTAATGCTGAGCAGTAATTGTGCAAATGAAACCTGGTCTCATGTATTCATCCGCTTATAGAAAAGTGGTTAATGACATTTACTGTCCACACAGGAAAAGTTGTGCCGAGCAGCAACCTAATCCACAGAAGGGTTAATGCTGAGCAGCAATTATGCAAATGAAACCTGGTAACTGACTTTGGGGTCAAAGGCCGGTTACAGCCTATCAGAAAGAAAGGAGGGGTATTTAGGCCCAGTTCTCAGCCTGCTCAGTGCCCTGTCGTGGTTTCCCTTGTGGTTGTCCGAGAGCGCGTTCCTGTTTATAGTTTTCTACCTGGTTTTTGACTTTGGCTTTGTTTATTGACTTCTCTATATTCTGGTATCCTGACTCCTGGCTTTCCTCATCGCTGTGTCCCTTTCTGTGTTCCCTGACCTCGGCTAGTATTTTTGACTATTCTTTGTACGTTAAATCCGGCCATTCTAAGGACCGGTAATACGTTACTTATTTGTCATCCGTGCTGTACAGTTCTACGTGCTGGATCAAACAGTAATCCTGACATATTGTGAGTCTTAATTTAAGATGGCAACAAGTAGCAAACCCACCAGAGATGTTAAATTAAACATGTTGGCTATAAATCTCTTGTCTATGGAGAAGGCCCTAACATAGGATCGACGAGTATTAAGTGACAGAGTCATTTAGTCAATACTTGGCTATGGTTCAACTACTCATCTAATCCATTATTAGGTCTTGGAATGATGGGGCGGCTGTAGCCAGTCGTGAGTCAGTAGGAGAGTTTCCTGGAATGCCTGGAATTGTAGTGAGATAACTGGTCAGCTGCCGTGATGTATGTACCTGGAACATGACCACACACTAAGGTAAAATTGTTTACAGACTGCTAACCATGTCAGTCTCCTAAGAAATCTCCTTATGGTTAATGAAGATGAACATCCTTTATTTATAACATGACAAATTGCTTGATTAACAAAAAACATTGTACCGAAACAACCGGCCCATAATTGGCCCAAAACCACTACAGCAGCTACTATTAGGTATACTTCAAATAATGCTGAGTTGCGATAAATCCTCTTATGTTTAGAACCTCTTCTGGCCAACTACCTGTGAGCCAATTATTACCGAATATGACTGTGAGCCCGGTGGTAGCTGCTGCATCTGTCCAGATGACGGGGAATGTATAAATAATTGTGGAAGAAAACTCTGAGAAGGTCGTTGGTGGGATGTGTCATTAGCTATATACGACTGATATCGTTGGGAAATTCAGAGAGTAAGCTAAGGAGTCTCGATATGGAGGCTATACCTAGTGGGATGATTCTCATTGCAAAATTAAGGGAGTCTAGAAGAGATTGCATTTTGATTTGAAAGTAAGTCTTGTGAAAATTAATACATGCTTCTCCATGTAATACTGTGCAAGTGCCTTAGAGATGAGTGAATGGTAGTAGTTTAAAGGTATGAAATCTGTTCTTAAAAATTTAGCTAAGAGGTTGGATAGGTGGATGGGTAGAAGGCTGACTAGAGAACCAACATTCCCAGAGGTCAAATAAGGATTAGAGGGCATTTTGTTAGGGCACATAGATTTTGCATGTGCCCTGTAGCAGTGGGAACAAACATGCAACAAGCAGCAAGCACTATATTCACAAGTACCTTTGTTGAATTTATATCATATTAATGAATTCCCAAATACACAATTGGACGTCCTAATTTATCTTTGACTGGTTTGTCACTCTTTGCTTTGGTGCTTGGGGTGGCCAGGTAAGGAAAGATTGGACATAGATTAGCTGAGTTTGAAGTGGATGCATCTACTGTGCAAGCTGGTGTCCTCAGTCCAGTGAGAAGTCCAGAAAATCTCTATGTCCAGTTGACTCCAATCTGTTCTAACATTAAATTGGACAAGAGGTGCAAGACCCATGCTGAGAAGGACCGGTAGTAGTCATAAATGCTGTACCACCGTATTTATTACCCAAGTCCACCGGATTGTTCATGTAGAGATCTAGTTCCTCTTCTCCTGTGCGGGTAACCTGAACCTATGACGTTTCTGTCCCGAATGCTAACACGAAATTCAGGATAGACCGTTCCTTGCTCAGTCTTGGGTCCCTGGCCTTTAGTACAACAGATCTAGCCTTGTATACATAAGTGCGATTCTCAACAATATCCTGGGAGGCATATTTTTTTATTTTTTTTAGATTGCTGGCACCATGTGCGCTGATTGAATAACAATCTGCATTAACCGTATTCATACTTTGTATTCGTACTCATGAGCCTGTATAGTTCTGCCTTCCTAGCTGTTGCTGGGAAAGGAATGTTGTGCCTGTGTAGTCCAGCCATTATACGTGGTATGGTCCATGACCTGATGGTATTACCTTTACGTGTAGATGTAGTGGACCTGCCTGAAGCGCTGGGAAGTGACATGTAATCACCTTCTTCTGGATTCTGAGACATACTGTAAATATGGCAATAATTAACTTGTCTCTAACTGTCTTACTGGCTGGCTAGCTAGTGCCAAGTGGCAAAACAATTTACTAAGTTGGTGACAGGTGAGGCTGCCAAGCGGCTTGAGAGGCTCTATCTATGCGTTGGCGTGAGTGGGTCTCGAGGCCACTGAACATTGTGGCGTGGTGTTGGCCTCTCGGTGACTCTTAAAGCATCAGATAGATTGGGCGTGACAAGTGAGGCCTTCTCTATGCAACTCTGCGAGGCGGTTAACTATGAGTTGGCCCGAGAGGTGTAGTACCTCATGCGTGGAGGATGGGTGTTGGCCTGCGAGACCACTAACTAAGGCAGAGATGCTAGGAACGTAACTTCTATTGGCCACCTAGATCCTGAACAGCCAGTAAAACATACTAACTAAAAGGTATATAATGCGGGGGAGCCACCATGGCTAAAAACGTGGCTAAAAACTTATGTAGACTCTGTATAGCATTGTGTAACCTGTAACTGCAATCTGTAGTACCTACTACAAGGAGGCTGAGAGGGGAAGGAGAGGCCTATTACCTAGTAAGCAAAAGCAACCGTAGTAAAAGAATCATAGCAATAGTGACGGTAATATACTGTACACTTGGCCAGAGAATATGTAAAAAAGGGCGTAAATGAGCAATGAGTAAATGAAGGAAAACATTTGAATGTATACGTAGAAAGGACCATGCATGGGTCAAACATAAAAAGTCAATCCTCTTGTTTGCCTATACCTTGGTTCGTTAACCTGGTCCCTACCGCCCACTAGTGGGAGTTTCAGGATTCCAGGTGGGCGGTAGGGATTTCCTCATTTTGAGAGATTGGGTGGGGCGGGTGCGAGCCTGTGGTACCCCTGTGACAGGGTACTGCCATCACCATTTGCGGCCCTGGCTCGCACGGCAAACCGCCGCGGCCGCCGTCCAAGGGGTCCCATGCTGTCAGGGCCACCCGATGGATGTGGATTGTCAGGGGGCCCGGTCAGCGCTGGGCACTTTAACAGCGCGACATCACAGAGCTCGGAGGAAGTGACTGCACATCACTCCTCACAGCTAACACACAGACCACGCTGGAGGAAGCAGAGGGAGCTAGAGTGGGGACTCTGACTCCCATCCACCTAAGCCACCACTGGACCCCAGGGAAAGTCACCCTTCTGCACCTAAAAGGTAGGAAACAGGAGGGTGACTAAAATATTTTGTGTGTGTGTGTTTGTGTCTTTGTATGTGTGTGTCTTTGTATGTATGTCTTGTGTGTGTCTATGTGTCTGTATGTGTGTGTATGTGTCTTTGTATGTATGTGCGTCTTTGTATGTATGTCTTGTGTGTATGTGTCTTTGTATCTATGTGTGTCTTGTGTCTGTCTGTATGTCTTTGTACGTATGTCTTGTGTGTGTGTCTGTCTGTATATATGTATGTGTTGTGTGTATGTGTCTTTGTATCTATGTGTGTCTTGTGTCTGTCTGTATGTCTTTGTACGTATGTCTTATGTGTGTGTCTTTGTATGTGTGTGTCTGTATGTATGTGTGCCTGTCTGTTTGTATGTATGTCTTGTGTGTGTGTGTGTGTGTGTGTGTGTGTGTGTGAATGTGTGCCTGTGTGTCTGTATGTATGTATGTGTGCTTGTCTGTGTGCGTGTCTGTATGTGTGTCTTGTGTGTGTGTCTTGTGTGTGTGTGTGTGTCTGTATGTATGTATGTGTGCCTGTCTGTTATAGTGGGCTATAGTAAGTAATAGTAAGTGGGCTACCTAGCTCAGCCTTCCTACTGGGTATTGCTATAAGGAAGGTTAAAAAATAGAAAAAAGGAAAAAAAAAGTGGGGAGGGGAATTGAGGAGGGAAAGGAAAGGAGATGAGCTGACGCACATATGAGAAATCATATTATGCACAAACAGAGAAGTCGTCTGAATATCACCGAAATAGGAGACCTTCGTTTGTTCCTTACGAAAATCGAACCAGATATCAAACATTTAGTCTCGCAGCATCAGCCTCAAGGATCTCATTAATCACTCGTAAAGGTAATTTCAATTTACTTTATTGTTTTCTCATTCAATTTTATAACGTTAAAAACATTATAAACATGCATTAAGTAGAAATAAAAATATAAATGTTCGTACATTTATTTTTTTTAAAAACACCCTCCTTTCTAAAAAATATTCTGCACTTGCGTGAAAACTGGTGGGTGGTAAGGACATTTTTCCATCAAGAAAGATGCATTTGTGGGCGGTAGGAAGAAAAAGGTTGACTACCACTGGCCTATACATATAGTTATAAAAGAGAGGAAAACATGTATTTTTGGTGCGTGCCCCGATAGGAGTGAGGAGGCTGGGTAAAACCTGGTCAACTGAATTAACTTGTCGTGATGAACATATAGCGTTAATGAAAGACCACTTACCTGTGAACCGAAATTAGTAATGAGCGGAGAGACTTAGGTGACAGTTACTGGAAGACCATTAAGGGTCCAACTTGAACTAACTTATAACATGTAAGGAATACCGTGTATATTGATAATCTGGAATCTGCCATACGATGAGCCATACGATGACTAAGGTAATTGTTGTAACCATATAAGAGACTAAAATAAACCTTGCAAACAATTGAGGGGTTAATACAGTAGCAGACTGGGGGAACGCTGAAGAACAAGATTAGTAAAAGCAATGAAAATCAACCAGGATATGACAAGGACGTGGATACGTATTATTAAGCCAGTAAAACTAAGGAACTATTAACGGTCTTACCCCTGAAGGAGTATATAACAAACACCTAGCTACTGACATTAGATTCAAGGTACGAATAGCAAATGCTACTCTGAAAATCGATAACACCATAACTCTAAAAAAATGTTGCTTTTATGAGCCTTTTAAGACATGCCTATAAGCTGGCCTGCAGACCGTGCAGGAGTACGCACGTGAATGGGATATTGTTTTCCCAATGAACCCATTGCCGCACATATTCCTTGACCTAACGTCTTATAGCACGTTTTCATACATCAGTAATGAATAAACGTTATTAATGATCATATTTCTATCTAGGATATATGTAGACAGGTGGACAAGTCGAGTGCACAGCAGGTACAAATGGCATTGCACTGTTAACTCTCCAGTGCAACACCATTTGTGTGTGTGCACAAATTTAAATATATATATTTTATATATATATGTTTGACTGTTAATACAAGCTGCACAGTACTGTAGAATACTTTAGAACCTTTAAATGACCTACCTATGGGAAGAACCATAACCTGATCTATTTAACAGAGAAATATATCCACAGACAAAACCTGAAATACATACACCATATAAGAGAACAATGCTACATAACATTCAAGCATAACCAGGGAGACAGCTGAGAGTAAAGCACATGTTTGACCTGAAATATTGTTGAACAAAAATTGACTACTAGGGTACATGCATCACACAGAACTACATTTTAAATAAACATTATAATAAAGAATCTGCGTCGCTTGCACAACAAGGTTAACACTCATTTTCTAAAAGTGAGTGCTTAAATTTAGAAGTGACCTTGTGGAGGAGTCAGGCACACACATAGAAGAACGCACATGTACTGTCAAGGGAACTGATTGGAAACAAAACTTAAGCATTTGAAATCCTAGTCTTACTAAATAAAGTGAAATCTCAAATTGTAATGGTACAAGCTTAGTTTGCATAAAATATAACCTCAAGGGGCAGTATAACATTGAAACAAATAGCGTGATTAGAGTGGCTGAAACAGTTGAAATTAAGTGAACTCCTCATGAACATAATGCAGAATTTAAATCTACCGAATGGTGTCACAATTGTGGTAACCGCTAGAGGTCAGTGTGAAAACAAAAGCTGAATTAGAGCGACTTGTTCGGTTGTATTCAGTCAAAATAGTAAATTACCGAAATGGATACGACACCTAAAATAGTGAGGTAAGTAGGTGTGAATTTGTATACAAAGTCCCAAATGAACGATACGTGAGGTATGATAGTCGTGCAACAGTTGTGTGCGTGTGTGTAGTAACCCTTTCGGGCAGTCTCACGGTTCGTGGACCGAACAGGACCCAGGAAGCAGTGGAGTGACCCGGCGTCCAAATGCAGATCGCCGGACCATTAACAGTAGGGTAGGAAAGGGGGAGTCCCTTTTATACGCAACATCAAGCCCCTCCCACAACTCCAGGCAGAGCCTTAACATATATATATATATTTATTTTTTTTCTTAGACATATATACATATGTAGATGTCTTATATACCATATCTTGCATGTCACTTACACATCTCAAAGAAAACATTAGAAAAATGTATCACATGTTCAGAATTCTCCCAGAACGACGTGTTGAATATGTATTTTTACGCTGCAAATCCCAAAAGTATACAATTGTGTAATCCATTGTTAGCTCTTTGTCCATTACAACCATAACCCATGTATTGGCATAAAAATATTGTTTGAAAACAACATGTTATTGCTCCGGGACCTGCAGAAATGTGGGATGGAATCTATATTGTTTTCTTGCAAGGGTGAGCATATATCTCTGCCTGCCAGACTCCCAACGCAGGTAAGCCCTGACATACACAACATCAACTTTCTATTTGCATGCAACATGTAAATGGTTAAGTTGTAAGCTGTGTAAGAGAATGATCTTTGAATTTCTTATCAGAGTTTCGACAGAGGATAATGTAAAACAACGTCTGAACAGTGGTCATTGAATCAGATTGGGACCCTGGGAGTCCTTTCCAATTTCGCATAGAAGGAGAAATTGATATCATCCACGAAGACTTAATGAAAAGTGATTTTACCTAAATCATTACAGAATGAACAATAAAGATATGGAATTTGCTTTCTTGAAATTAAAACAATGTCTTTTTTTTGGCACAGCTAAAATATTTAGAGCTAAAATAATTGACCAATATTATCTATAACCTTTCTGCTACATCACTAATGGAAATGTTGAACCTGTTGGACTTAAGTCTTTTTTTCAGTCTAAATTACTATGTTAAATCATAAATGATTATGTAGAGATAAGATTCCAGTAAACCATAATCACAACACCCACGTAGGAAGAATTTATCCATGTGTAAATTCTGTTCCATATACTTTATTAGCTTAGCTAGTTACACAATTAGTGTACACTGAGTACTTTGATATTCAGGCCGAGGGGTGATTTGTACTCTAGTCAGGACACATACAAAAGGTATCCTATCATTTTACATGATAAATACAGTGCTAGTGGTTTGCTCTACTGTGCTTGGCGTTTTGGTGTGTTATCTTTTATGGTCTAACAAGAACCAGAAGCCCTTAGGACATGATAGAACTGGTAAAAATTAACTTGCCCTAATTAGATGGTTTAATTATGTAAATCATTCTTCAAAAATTTGATAATCATATTAGTGTCCTTTAACAATTCTGCCTATTAAATATTTACTTAACCTGCAACAATGTCTGGTATTAAATAAGAGTCAAAACAAATATAACATTCCACAAGAATTGCAGCCTAGAGACCACACTGAAATGCATAAAATGAAACTATATAAAGTTGTATATATAAAGTTGTTTCCTGAGGGCCAGAAATGCCAGTTTTTGTAGGACAGAGCCTCCTGTGGAAAACAGAACTTCTGAATCTTCATAAAGTGGTTTGTTAGAAAGTATTTGTGTTGCGTATTTTCTTTGCTCACACGGACTGCATTAAAAATGACACATAGACCATGCAAATGCTTGCAAACAATGCTGTCATTAGCCACTCTCTGTGTCTTCTTAAGGTTTGCTCCATGGTCTGAATCCAACGATGCACATACCATCTCTGTAAACCTGCAAGTTCTAAATTTGATTGTGCCAAGGCAGAAGATCCTCTGTTTTCCCCATCAGACATATTGTTGGAATTTTCAGATGATTCAGACATTTCTGCAAAAAAAAAAAAAGGGTTATTTTTTTTTCTACATTTTCTTGCCCCAATTTCGTGGGCTTCTTCCAATTCTTCGTTAATCCCTTCTCATTATATAGCACACAGGATTGCCTTTACTCCATCTTCATTGGTCAGAACTCTGGGACTAATTAATGAATTACCCTTTTTGTTACACAATATAAGTGCTTCCACTCTGCTTCTTTACATAATCTTTTAAAGAAGCAGATTGGGGTTGGCTGTGTGACTGGGGCAAAACGCGTCATAAGAGAAATCAGAGAAGGAGGGCTAACGGCCCTGCTGTAAATATACAGGGTAGGGACATTATTTTATCGAGAGGACCTTTGTAGATAGCCAAGTTGTGTAAATAATATGTAGTCATTTATACTCAGGGACTATTAACAAAGCAAACTGAATGACACCGGTCATACCCCAGCATAACCAAGGGGATGGTTTATATTTATTTATGTTTAAACCAGTGTAGATATATCTCTTGTAACAATATACATCAATTCTTCTTAGGATCTTCTGATTCATCAAAGTGAATGTCAAGCCTTTACCAAAAAACATTTGCTTAGTGTCAACATTGATAAAGGAACAAATATCAACAAAGATAATTAAATCTCTATCAATGCAGATAATGCACTTAAATATTTAAGTAGCTATTGTTGGCTAATGCTCCATTTCAGAGAGCACACAGTAAGTGCTGTGAGCATTTTTTGGCAAATCCTTTAAAAAACTTCACTTTTCAAATTTTAAAGAAATTGTAAAAGTTTTTTTGGTGCCATTGAGAGAAATCTCCGACGTGGCAAATTTAGTTTTTTACTAGCTGGCGGATCTCAACCCCTAACTGAAGCAAAACTAAGCTTGTGTTTACAATGTGTTGGATGAAAATATTTTGTCAGTTGTTTATTCAGGGAGGTTTTGTGAAAAAGGTTTTTAACTTTAACAATTAAGCTCTCAAAAACTTGTCCTGTGTGTCTATAGTATGCAACTTGCCCTGTGTGTCTATAGCATTCTTTGTAACACGAGATGTGAGGCTAATCCAGGTACAAGTTAATATCTTTATATAGTCATGACCAGTGCGATTTAAATGTTGATTCTATAAAGGTTTGTTTATTCAAGGTTTTATTTCTGTAAAGGTTAATTTACTTAAGGTTTTAAAACTGACAGAAATTGTAATTCTTGCTTAACACTTTAAGTTACGCACACATAAATTTGGAAGGATATTAAAAAAAATAAATGTAGTTGGCTGTTAATAATGTGCCAACATAAGTGCAAAATCCTGGATGGAAGAGGAGATTTCACCAACTAAGCGCTTTGAGTTTAGCTATAAGATAACGCAGATCGATGGGCAGACATTAGTGAATAACAGCAGTTTATGCAATCAGTTATTTCATTTGTTGTGGCAGTGTATGTAATCAGTCTTTATTGCTGCACAAACAAATGTACACAATCAATATTTATTTCTGCACATAGCATGAATATATAGAGTATAGTATATTTTGTTAATCTTTCCATCTGCGGGAGCAAGGTTTTAAATAATTATTTATATCCGTGCAGAGCAAAATTCATCTTCATATCTGCTTTAAAAAAAAGAATAGGCCTAAATTTATAAGAAATATCTTGGCAGTTTTGTACACATTGTGGATAATGACAAAGTTTGGTAACAGCACTTTTATTTAAAATGTATTTTTTTATGCAGCACTGCTTGGTTTTAACACTTTTTAGATTAATATTATATTTGATAACAAGGAGAATTATTTGTTGCTCTTACTTGTAGTAGGTTTGCACAGTAATGTATGCCTATGACCTTACTATGCTTGAAATAAAATCCTATATTATAGGTGGGGTCTGAAATTCTTATCTCTCCCGCTCTTAAGAATATAGCTTTAGTATGGCTGAGTAAATATCAGGTTTGGAAAAAAAATGCCCTAGTTAAACGGCAGTACACTTGAAGTAGTTTATACTGTAGTGTACTGGGAATCTACACTGCTCAAAAAAATAAAGGGAACACTTAAACAACACAATGTAACTCCAAGTCAATCACACTTCTGTGAAATCAAACTGTCCACTTAGGAAGCAACACTGAGTGACAAACAATTTCACATGCTGTTGTGCAAATGGGATAGACAAGAGGTGGAAATTATAGGCAATTAGCAAGACACCCCCAATAAAGGAGTGGTTCTGCAGGTGGTGACCACAGACCACTTTTCAGTTCCTATGCTTCCTGGCTGATGTTTTGGTCACTTTTGAATGCTGGCGTTGCTTTCACTCTAGTGGTAGCATGAGACGGAGTCTACAACCCACACAAGTGGCTCAGGTAGTGCAGCTCATCCAGGATGGCACATCAATGTGAGCTGTGTCTGTCAGCGTAGTATCCAGAACATGGAGGCGCTACCTGGAGACAGGCCAGTACATCAGGAGATGTGGAGGAGGCCGTAGGAGGGCAACAACCCAGCAGCAGGAGCGCTACCTCCGCCTTTGAGCAAGGAGGAACAGGAGGAGCACTGCCAGAGCCCTGCAAAATGACCTCCAGCAGGTCACAAATGTGCATGTGTCTGCTCAAACGGTCAGAAACAGACTCCATGAGGGTGGTATGAGGGCCCAACGTCCACAGGTGGGGGTTGTGCTTACAGCCCAACACCGTGCAGGACGTTTGGCATTTTCCAGAGAACACCAAGATTGGCAAATTCTCCTCTGGCGCCCTGTGCTCTTCACAGATAAAAGCAGGTTCAAACTAAGCATGTGACAGAGTCTGGAGACGCCGTGTAGAACGTTCTGCTGCCTGCAACATCCTCCAGCATGACCGGTTTGGCAGTGGGTCAGTAATGGTGTGGAGTAGCATTTCTTTGGGGGGGCCGCACAGCCCTCCATGTGCTCGCCAGAGATAGCCTAACTGCCATTAGGTACGGAGATGAGATCCTCAGACCCCTTGTGAGACCATATGCTCGTGCGGTTGGCCCTGGGTTTCTCCTAATGCAAGACAATGCTAGACCTCATGTGGCTGGAGTGTGTCAGCAGTTCCTGCAAGACGATGGCATTTATGCTATGGACTGGCCCGCCCATTCCCCAGACCTAAATCCAATTGAGCACATCATGTCTCTCTCCATCCACCAATGTCACGTTGCACCACAGACTGTCCAGGAGTTGGCAGATGCTTTAATCCAGGTCTGGGAGGAGATCCCTCAGGAGACCATCCGCCACCTCATCAGGAGCATGCACAGGCGTTGTAGGGAGGTAATACAGGCACGTGGAGGCCACACACACTACTGAGCCTCATTTTGACTTGTTTTAAGGACATTACATCAAAGTTGGATCAGCCTGTAGTGTGTTTTTCCACTTTAATTTTAAGTGTGACTCCAAATCCAGACCTCCATGGGTTGAAAAATGTAATTTCCATTTTTTTATTTTTGTGTGATTTTGTTGTCAGCACATTCAACTATGTAAAGAACAAAGTATTTCAGAAGAATATTTAATTCATTCAGATCTAGGATGTGTTATTTTTGTGTTCCCTTTTGAGCAGTGTATATTTCTATTAATGGCCTGGAGCTGTCAAAGGACCTCTACAGAGCACCCACACAAAGATCACAAACAAAAGATGACACAAAAAAAAAATCTGAGGATTCAGTCCTAGACCTGACAGACATTTAATGTTAGTTTACTCATTATCAGGTTACACAATCTTTGCTATAAGATCTTACATAATAGTTTTTTTTTTATTTTGATTGTTCTTACCTTGTCCAACATGAATACATCGCACAAAGACTGTAACTGCCAGGGAGAGAATAAAAGAACCCAACACATAGATCTAATGAAAAATAAAAAATAAGATGAATTTTATTTACACAGCAATGACTGACACCATCAAGAAACTTGCTGAAAAAAATTATACTTATATATTTAAGTAACTTCATTAGAAACATTTTCTTCTTGAAAGGCATTACAAGTGAGTCTTTAAATCAGATGTCATTCATAGATACTTTTAAGAGGATACATTGTAACACAGAATACATACAGTATACACAAAGCATATCTTTATATACAAGTACATATTACACTGATCAGAACACAACATTAAAACCAACTGCCTGATACCTTGTAGGTCCCGCTTGTGGTGCCAAAACAGCTCTGATGCTTCAAAGCATGGACACCACAAGACCACAAGTACCTGGCTACCAAGATCATTTAAGGCCTACGAGTTGCGAGGTGGGGGCCTCCATGGATTGGATTTGCTGTTCCAACAAATCCCAATCAAATTGAGATCTGGCCAAAGCACCATATTGTAATTTGTCATGTTCCTCAAACCATTCATAAACAATTTTTGCAGTGTGGCCGGGTGCATTATACTTCTGAAAGAAGCCACTGCCAACAGGGAACAGCATTGCCATGAAGGCGTGTACATGGTCTGCAGTAACCTCTAGGTAGGTGTTATGTGTCAAAGTTACATCCACATGAATGCCAGTACACAAGGTTTCCCAGCTGAACATAACTGGCCAGAGCATAACACTGCTTCCACCAGCCTGCCTTTTTCCCATAGTGCATCCTGCTGCCATCTCTTCCCCAGGTAAATGATGCCCACAGCCATCGACCTGATCTAAAATAAAAGATGATTCATCAGACCAGGCAACCTTCTTCCATTGCTCCATGGTCCAGCTTTTACACTCACGTCCCCGTTGAAGGCACTCTGACAAGTCTGTGGTTCTGCAGCACCATACGCATCAAACTGTGCTGCACTGTGTGTTTTAACATCATGGCCAGCATTACTTTTTTTTTAACCACTTTGAGCTACTGTAATTAATTTATGTGATCGGACCATGAGCTAGCCTTTGCTCCCCATGTGCATCAATAAGTCTGAATGGGCCCATAACCCTGACACTGATTCACAAGTTGTCCTTTCTTCCACCACTTCTGGTAGGTACTAACCACTTCACACTGGGAAAACCCAACAAGACTTGCTGTTTTGGAGATCCTCTGACCCAGTCATCTACCATCACTATTTGGCACTTGTCAAAGCCACTGGGCTCTTTTCTCTGATTCCAACACATGATATTAACGTTATAATCAAATGTTTTTCACGTCAAAGGTCAGTAGTTTTAATGTTGTGGCTGATCAGTGTATAGTGTATATTTAATACATCATATACAAAGATAAAAATACATATAAAGACATAAATATGAATCAAAGAGACCAGCAAGGTCAAGGACTTTTATTTTTAAAGGGCCAATGAAAGAAGGCTACTCTAGCATGTACTCCCTAGAACAAACATAGAAACTAGCGACAACCTAATGTAAAATGGTATATTAGTACTGGTAAATGTCATGTATTTTAACAATGCAAGGCAATGTGAGTGAGAGAAAGAAACTGGAAGAGGGGGGTACAGCAAAAAATCAGGGATGGTGCCCACAGAATGTTGTTTCATACATACTTTTAATCTATACATTTACTATGAATTTGGCTAGCATACACCATATAAAACGGAATTTCCAGTAACACAATGTCATTGTAGCATATAATTTGCAATCACGTAACATACCATGGCTGAGTGTAGGATCAGTTTCCATGCAGCAGTAACGTGTTGATAAAGTAACACCAATGAACATGGGCTTATCACTTCCTCATTACTGTGACTCTGGCACCTGAGTAATATAAAAAAAAAAATACCACAAAGTGAACATTGAATCCATAGCTGGAGCGCACTCCATTTATTTTCTCTCTGTGAGTGTAATGCACACAGTATACGAAAAACAATATTAATTAAGGAGAGGTCCATCTCCACATATACTCCTATACAGTCCAATACTTATGTGGACAGTAAGACATGTTGTTGTGGTGTTTTTTTCTTTGCTCCAGTGCACTGGAGAAGATAAACAATGCCTGAGAAGGTAAAATACATCCACGAACTGTGATTTATGAAGAAATTACAGCATTTTATACACATAGTCCCTCAATTGTAGGAGATCAGAAGTAATTGGACAAATTAAGATAATCTTATACAAAGTTGTTATGTCCAGTACTTGGTTGGATGACTGCCCAGAATCTCAAATCCATGGACATCACCTGACATTGTGCAGACACCTACCCTGGCAGACAGATATGGATAATACAAAGTCATTGGTAGGTGCAAGAAGGATGCATAGGAACAGACAAAGTCTCAGAACATGTAGTAAACAAGATTAGCCAGGAACAAGCAGAAATCATTATTAGAGAATTAAGAATAGTAGCAATGCAAATCAATCAGTGCAGAATAGTAAACTGGTACACTGGCATCTCCACACTGGAGCTCTATGTCAATGAAGAACTAGTTCTGTTTTGTCCAGATGAAGCTGTGGCGCATTCAATCATCACGGAAAATGTGAGTGAACCTGTACATGTGTGCCGTACTAATAAGCATCCCATACACACTGTATGCGCTGTCTTAGCAACCATAATTGTGTAGGAAACTGGATAGTAAAAGGCATTGACAGACATAGGTATCACTGTTTCTACTTAGCTTATATTTCTGAATATTGGGACACACGAGGCTTAGGTATGCTTCAAAAGCATTGGTCCCTTTTTTAAGAGACAAATGAAGCACAAGAAAAGACTCCCAGTGCATAACCAAACATAGAATCACCTCTATGACTTATTTAAGCTTCTGTGTATATTTACTAACAATCTAACACACATCTGGCCAACAAAAAGCTGAGCAACCAATTGTCCAATTACTTTATGGTTCTCTAAATTGGAGTGTCTATATATAGACACACGGTCTGCAGATGTAATTACCCTCACATTAAAGTGGACAGTGTGCACTTTACCCCCTTATTGCTGCTTTTTAAGTCAATCAACTGGAGTAGAGAAAAAAAACTTTCCCTATAGGTAGTAAACTGAATTACATGAATCACAAATATGCAAAAAAATTACAAAATTTAGTTTTCTAATTCTAGTAATTAGGGTTATCCCCTGTTCTACAATAACAACTAGGTGACCTCTCTGCTTGACAAGGGGATATGGTCATAGGTCTTCCCAGGCTTATGGTTCTAGCCAGTAGAAGACACCTTGACCTATCCCTTGGTTAACTTTTTATTCATTTATCTAGTAAAATAAAAAGAAAATGGGTGTATACAGAGACTCATCAGAAAAAGAATGAGAATTACTGTATTACCTGGATATATCTATAGTCTTAAGTGTAATGGTAAGATAAAGTACACCAACAAAAAACTAATGAATAACCACCTAATAAAATGAACTCCTATGTCTGCAAATATGTATCAGCTCAGAGAAAGGGTGGATTATGGGCACTGCACACTTTTAAGTACGTTTTGACTAATAATATGCAACTCTTATTATTTATTCCTCCTATGCCTATCTTGCCAGTTTTGCAGGGAGAGAGGCTTTGCAAGTTAAAGGACCACTATAGTGCCAGGAAAATATTTGTTTTCCTGGCACTATAGTGCCCTGAGGGTGCCCTCACCTTCAGGGTCCCATTCCCGTGGTGCTGAGGGGGGAGGAAGGGGTTAATCCCTTACCTTTTTTCCAGCGCCGGGCTCCCTCGGTGCTGGTACTCTCCTCCCTCTTCTTCCGTCATCGGCTGAATGCGCATGCGAGGCAAGAGCCGCGCGCGCATTCAGCCAGTCCATAGGAAAGCATTCTCAATGCTTTCCTATGGACGCTGGGGTCTTCTCACTGTGAAAATCACAGTGAGATGCGCGGAAGCGCCTCTAGCGGCTGTCAATAAGACAGCCACTAGAGGCTAGATTAACCCTAAAGTAAACATAACAGTTTCTCTGCTATGTTTACTGCAAAAAGGGTTAACCCTAGCTGGACCTGGCACTCAGACCACTTCATTAAGCTGAAGTGGTCTGGGTGCCTATAGTGGTCCTTTAACTATTGCCAGTTCAATTTTTGCCTGGCATAAGACTTTTCATTACTATCCTCCTCCATACTTTATACTTGGCTAGTACCTGTCTCCCAGGTTTATGTTAACGACATTGGTATACATATATGTATTTTCTATTGGCGAGATCTGACAATACCTCCAATTGTATTCATATATGTTTTTGGTAATTGGGCAGTATTTGGCTATCTTGCCTGCATCTAGGGAACACAATCCTTTTTCTGTTCCCTCAGTTGGGGCAGAGACTATACCACCTATCATATAGCCTATATCTGTCTCTGGGATGATCTGGTATTTATGTAGCTGACTGCAGTTTATTGGGGGTCTAGAAGTCTCTATTTTTGAGCCAATGTATTAAAGCTCATTTTATTACATTGATTTTTACTCTATTTAGACAGACTCTGAGCTGATACATATTTGCAGACATAGGAGTTCATTTTATTAGGTGGTTATTCATTAGTTTTTTTGTTGGTGTACTTTATCCTTATTACTGCATTCTACCATTACCCTTAAAGGACCACTAGAGTGCCAGGAAAACATACTCGTGCCCCCACCCTCAGGGTCCCCCTCCTGCCGGGCCCTGGGGAGAGGAAGGGGTTAAACTTACCTCTTTCTCCAGTGCCGGGCGGGGAGTTCTCCTCCTCCTCTCCTCCCTCTTCTCATTAAGCTGAAGTGGTCTGGGTGCCTATAGTGGTCCTTTAAGACTACAGATATATCCAGGTAATATAGTGATTCTCTTTCTTTTTCTGATGAGAGTCTCTGTATACACCCATTTTTCTGTCTTTTATAGTTTATTATAGGGTTAAGCCCTGAGAGACCCCTGGAGGCTCATATAGGTGCTTAGGATAGCCAGCTTCACCTTAAAACTACTGTTTTTAGTGTTGGGTAAGGAGCCGTTAGTTATCCTATACTTTCGTCTGTTTAAAAAAAAAAAATTCATACTTTATTTGATCAGAAGCTGCAAAGCGTACGGACACTGAGTACAGATTCTCCTCACCACCATTCAGTAGCCTCTCATTCTAGTGTATGGGGTGGATTCCCATAAACTTCTGTGCACAGGGATCATAGGATAAGCAGTTTATGGCCAAGCTCGAGATCCACTCTTCACATGGGATGAATAGAAATGATTTCTAAACTGATAACAGTCACACTGTGGCTGCTATCAGTGTACACACAGCACAGCTAACTGTTTAGTGATTGTCAAAGATGCACACCGTACATGTTCCCCTGTTTCAGGTTGGTTTTCCCTCCTTGGAGGAAACGGAGAGCCTTCCTACCTGTGCAGGCTGACTTTCTAATCCTGCAGTCATAGATCAGATAACAGGTGCAGGGTACTCTTCACTGCATCAACTTTGCAATAATTCCAGGTTGCTATTGCCCTCAGAGTGACAGTTTAATTTAGGCAAACTAAACATTTATCAATTACCAGCAGACATCTGAGAGAATGCACAAAAGTGCATTTCACACTAGGAGCAGCAAAGTGTGGTTTAGTTATTAACTATAACGCAATTGCGGATGTCCCTACCTACTATGTATGGCTTGATAGACAAACTATCTGAAATGCTCACAAGTCCTGCAAAGTTCTTTTTTTGCCTGACATAAAATCTCCCTTTCATAGCAAACATGTAGTTATATTGCATGCATTCTAAAAAATACCATGGTCGCAGTAAATCGTCGTCATTCTCATTGCGTCAGGTTTTGAGTGCACATTCTAGGAGTTGAAGTATTGTACGTGCACAGTCATGATTTTTCAGAAGGCACATTAAATATGTAGAGAATGTCTTGTTTTAACTCATAATGTTCGGAACATAATGTTTATTCTGAAAATAGTTAGAGTTACTCCAAACACCACGACCATTTCAGTCATTTGAAGTGGTCATGGTGCCTGGAGTCTGTATGTGTAGCTCTTTGCTGTGAAACCCCGGTGCTGCTCCATGTTTGTCAGTTTTACTGGGACATCATTAACCAATCTGGAATAGAATTTTCATGCATATAATTGCATTCACTGGCAGTCAACTGATGCTCTCTGCAAATGAATGGCATCTGGATCAGTTTGCAGGAAGTGTGTTACTCGTGCTCAAGGCAGACCTGGAACCCAGCAGACACATAAGGTGGCACACCTAAGTCGGTTTACCCCATTACAGGGGAATCAGGTCAAAGTATTCATAAGGTATTCCTGGAGAAGCCCTTTAATATGACAATTTTAATACGGATGTCCCTTTCAATAGCTATATATTGCTATAGCGGTTAGGTAGTGTTTATTAGGTAACATATAATCTACACATTTTTTTAGAAATAATAATTGTTAATATCTACCTTTCATACAATTCCATCACAAGAGATTCATTATTTCCATAAAAAGACTGGTCAATCTCCAAATACTGTAAAAAGCGTTCAGGTATAGAAATCCCTTCTTGAAGAAGCTGTGCTAAATTATAATATCCCTAAAAGAAATTTTAAAAAAATAATGAAGTTACAAATATGAACTGGGAAACTTTACTGATTATATAATTCCTGAGACTGATTGTTCAAACAAACAAATCAAGGAATGCTACCAACTGAATAATAAACAGACGCCTAAACATAAGTTCAATATTTTGTACAATTTCTTGGGGTGTGAAATTATTATTGATGTGAAAACACACAATGGAACCCATGTCTGAATGGAGTGCCCCAAAACGACTATTCGACGCACACAAATGAGGAAAAATCGGCAATCCACCAGCCTCACACCTTATGGCGCTCATCTTTGAAATGGTCCAATCCTAACAGAGCCACGGGTATTTAAAACCCGGCCTTTCTCATCCCAATAGCCCTTATGTGGCTCTTGTTTAGCCAAATAGTGCTTTTGTGATATTTATGATCTCCTGTTACTGACCTTGGCTTCATTACAGTTTATTCTGTTCTCTGTATTCCTGATATTTGGCTTGTCTAACGTTTTCTATAATTTCTCTTACCCTTGGTTTTGGCTATCTCTCTGACCATTTATATGTTAAGCCACACTAAGGCCCAATAATACAGATTGTAACATACACTGTTGCAGATTAGAGTCTGTGTGTTTGGGTTCCCTTACATATATTGTGACAGCTATGTTCCACTTTCTTCTCTTTTACTCATTCATTCAATCAGTTCACTACGCAGAATAACTCCAAGATGGCTTTTGTTGTGTCTCGACTACTTTTGTATGGACAATTCCCAGTTTGAGCTCAGGGGGACATAATGATGGTTAATCTCATGCGTGATGTGGTACAGTGTAATAAAAACTCTTAGCCCTGCAGTTATCTGTATGTACTTACCGACTTTCTTTTACCTTTCTAAACATTGTCTCTTCATTGATACTTAAAGATTTCCAAAACAAAGTTTATAAAAAATGCATAAGATTTTTTTTTTTGTAAATTCCTCTAAATACAATGGAACTTGATTTTATGTGGCTTGAGAGTACAAAAATATTTGGGGAACTCATTCCTCCCTGGAGGCAAATAATTGTCAGGACAGATATAAAACAGATGCACAAAGGGAATTTAAAATCAGCTATTATAGATTAATTGTTTTGTTAACAAAAGTTATGAAAGCAAAATGTCCCCATTTTACATGTTTCCTACCAGTAACAAAAGAAAATGTAAAACTTAAAAACCCTAATTAGAATTTTTTCTTTTTTATTAAACCTGTGAAGTGAATGTAAAATTGTAAAGCCAATGGTAGACAAGATGCATTTGATCATACTTGGGGCCAGCCATTTTGTTTACATGTGCTTAGTGCAGACTTGGTAAAAACTCACAGCAGGGTACTTGGCTTACTACTGCCCCCTGGTGAATCCTCTTTGCTCAGAAACTAAATACCATGGTCTAAAGCACAAATCAACATCTATGTACACAGCCATACCAATGTTATACCTAATATGTAAACAGATCTGTATAAGCAGAATTTGTATGGGTTGCTAAGATCTCACTGGATGACAGAAAGATTAAAAAATTGAGGGAAATGGAACCTCAAACAGCACAACATTAGGTAAAATTAACATCTAATTAGCAATGAGGGATGAGACTTTTTAAATAAATAAATATATATATATATATATATATATATATATATATATATATATATATATATATATATATATATATATATATATATATATATATATACACATATACACATTTCCTAATCTTTTGCTCTGGGAAATTTAATATAATTAGCAAACAATGAGCTCTCATATCCTTGAAGGATATTCAGATTATTTTTACAGATCCTTAAATTGTTTTCTATTCAAAATAATCAGGCAGCTGAACAGCTATTATCTGTTGAGGGTACTGTTTACCAATGCTATACGCATTTTGCAAACTAAAGAATAGTTAAAGGAACATACCTGGGCTTCACCCTGCAGGGCGGCTTGTGTGTAGTGCCTTACAGATAGATCTACATTTCTGGGATGCTTTCTGCTGCCAAAATAATACAGGTCTCCCATCTTCAATAAAGCTATACGAGACACACACACAAAAAGTATAAAGTGATAAATGAAACAGAAAGGCTAGTTTTTAGACAGTAATAGATGACGTGTAAAGTAAAATGTGCAAATGCCGACAAGTACACATAAAATATCAAATGAAAGTAAAGCTCTTTGAAGCACACTTTAAAATGTATAAAGATTAAATTATTCACTAACCCTCACAGAAGATACAGTGTCGCTGGCATTCATTTTCAACTTTATATTTCTCTAGGACACATAATACTCTATGTACATATAAACAGCATGCTCTTCCAGTGACGCAATACTGAACTAGGTTTTTCCAAATCAATGTTAGCAAACGACAGGTTTTGAAAAACAAACCTAATCAGGAGGCCTGAGAACTAACTGTTCAATGTCTGTTTGTTCAGGTCTAGAGAGCTTGCGGGGTACATTCCAATGCAGATATGAAACTGGTTATGAAATCAGAAGGGAAGTTCTAGGACATTGAGTTCTATTGTATATGTTGACACTTCTACTAATGTGGGCCTGACAGCAGTGGCATGTGTAGTTTTCTATTTACACAATGTAACAGAACCTTTAAAACAGGCTACTCTGCCAGAACCTCTGGATTCCAGAGTGCAAGCTCCAGGTGAAGTTCACACTAGGCTGAGTTGGAAGTAAATGATGTACTTTTGTAGGAGGTACCACAGAGCGATACCTGCATTGATCTAAGCCTTGAAACCCACATACATGATAGAGTGGCACAAGTGTCTAGCCTGTGAAAATCAGTGAATCATGACCGTTTTCAGCTTTATTTTGCATTAGCATAACTAGGGCTCATCCTCTGGTATATACGGAGTATACTCACAGCCGGTATTCACTAATGATAGAATTGCCAGGAATTCAAAGAGAATTTCAAAATAAATGCCAAAAATACTTTCAGTTCAGCTATTTTAGCCTTAAATTTGAAATTCACTTTGAATTGCTGACAATTTTCACTAACCTGGTAAGTCTACATCTTTTCCTTAAGGGTTGCCCTGGAAGAGCACTGTACCACCAGGAGGTGAAGTTGTTCTGGAAGAATAGCTAACAGTCACGTAATTAAGACATTTAAATAATCTATGCACATGTTGGATGTGTAAATAAAAAATAAAAAAGACAGTACCAAAAAAAATAAAAAAAACCCCAAAAAAACAAAACTGTAAATGTGAAAAATCGAAAACACATCTAAATATTAAATAAGACCCTTACCAAAAGATGAAGGATTATTCTGGTGTACAGAAAAATTATAGTATCTCCAGACACAATTAGACACATGTAGTCTTGTCAGTTCCTTAAAAAAACAACCCACATTTATTAATACAATAAACATGTAAACAAATTATTTAATTTGCAACATTCAACATTTTTAATGTAGAGAAATGCAAAGTTATGCACTTCAGGGTCAAGAATGCACAAGCAATTTATACCCTAAATGGTAGTGAATTAGGGATAACCACACATGAGAAGGATTTGGGAATTGTTATAGACAACAAATTAGGCAGCAATATGCAATGTCAATCTGCAGTTGCTAAGGCCAGTAAGGTTTTGTCATGCATAAATAGGGGATAAATTCTTGGGATGAAAATATATATTTTTCCTCTAGTAAGACCACACCTTGAATATGCTATGCAATTTTGGGCACCTGTTCTAAAGAAGGATATCATGGCACTAGAAAGTGCAGAGACAAGCTACAAAATTGATAAGGGAATGGAGCATTTTTGTTACGAAGAAAGGTTAAAACATTTTAATCTCTTTAGTTTGGAAAAATGGCGCCTCAGAGGGGATATGATAACATTATATAAATATATTCGGGGGCAGTACAAACCTTTATCTGGAAATCTATTCATAAATAGAGCTATACATAGGACACGAGGTCATGCATTTAAGCTGGAAGAAAGGAGATTTCATCTAAGGCAAAGAAAAGTTTTTTTACAGTAAGAACTATAAGGATATGGAATTCTCTGCCTGAAGAGGTGGTTTTATCAGAGTCCATACAGATGTTTAAACTGCAATTGGACAAATACTTGCAAAAACATAACAATCAGGGATATAATTTCTAATTAGTGGGGTAATAGCTGCTTGATCCAAGGAGACACCTGACTGCTATTTTGGGGTCATGAAGGAATTCTTTCCTAGTTTGTTGCAAAATTGGAAGTGCTTCAGACTGGATTTTTTGCCTTCTTTTGGATCAACAGCAAAAACATATGTGAGGTAGGCTGAACTCGATGGACACAAGTCTATTTTCAGCTATGTAACTATGTAACAAGTACTCAGCCAAGACACTTACGGGAATTTCTTCACAGATATATGCCAAGTTTGTCTGCGCCACTTCAATGCCAGCCTCGGCAGTTAATGCATAATAAAGAAACGCTTCATTTCTGAAGAGATAATAGAAATTCTTGTGAGCTATAAGTTAGAATTCTAACATTCCCCAAGAATTCTTACAAGTACACGGGAAGCAATGTATGTTCTACCTGATTAGGAGTTATTTAAAAAAAAAAATTCAGCTTGCTCAGCTAGTTATGTGCTCTTTAGGGGTTGTAGGAAAAATACCATTCATACTTGAACTGCAAAGAGGTATATATATGTTTTTTCCTGTTCTTGAAGCCCCATTCATGGTAAGAATAAACCCATAAATGCTACCCTGCCTAAAGGGGGCACTCTATACAACACTACTAGAAGATTCCAAAATGCATATTTTAACGCTTACATCTTACATATCTGCACGCTGGCAGACCTGCCCATTTAGTAGAGGTCTTCATAAGGAATCCCCAGAGTGGAATCAGGGTTTACTGTAAGTATCTCCTTATAAGACAATGGTACAATTCCACAGCTGAGATAAGCACATCTGGATTCTAGAAGCCATTGGGTATATTTATGGGTTCACAGCTGTTTTGTCGACTGGGAGTGACACCCAAATCAGAATTAACTCTTAGTAGACATTAACAGCAGACTAATATGTGGGTATTTGATCTGACATTAATCAATAACTCATATGTTGCTGTATTTGCTGAAAATGACATGAGCAATACAAAACAATTGCTCATGTCATTTAATAGCTGATAAACTACTAGACAGTGAGAATATCCATTTTGTATTGTGTTCACCATGACAAGCTCATATGACATAGGTCACGCTATCTTAATGCTCAACTATATAATGTGCATAAGAAGTCAGTAGCTACATGTAATAAAAGTAAACAGACTGCGTGAACTTACAGAGACCCATCCAGAAAGGCGTTCAAAGCTTTTCTAATGACATGCCCGATGAGTCCATTCTGCTCGGCCACAATCTTCGCCCACCTACAAAAATCAAAAGAAGATGATTAATCTTTGCAGTAGCTAACCATTCAAATTTAAGCATTGTTTAAATGAATATGATCCTGGCAGACTATAAACAATGAATGGCACCAATGCTATTACATACAGTAAGTAATAACCAACCACATAGTAGAGCAACATTGTGTGCCGGATATTTTAATTAATAATGATCATAAAAGTAGTTCTTATTTATTACAATTGTATTACTTATTACTATCTGACAAATATATGAGCACAAAAGAACACATATAGTGACATGTTTATGACACCAGACCACATCTAGTCTGCCAGTGTAATTCCTGGCTTTATTTGTGATGTTGTATCCTGCCAAGAAAAACAGTGCTGTGTCTATTTCAAGTGCTCTTGGCCCGTTCCATTGAATTCGTTTCTGCTAGACGAGTTTTCCAAGCATTAACACCCTTTTTCTATTAAATATTATTATTGTTGCATCTTCAAGTTGTGTCTGCTTTCCTTCTTGTCCCTTTTTCCAGCTACCTTCTTTCTACCCTCGTCATCCCCATTACTACTTACCCCTATACATTTTTTGCTCCAAGCTCAGGGCTGCCATCAGAAATTTTTGAACCCCTTACACAGCTCAAGGCCTCAGAGTCCCTGAGTCAGCCCACAGGGCTAGCTCCTGAGACTGCCCACTTGGATGCAGTGCGTGTAAAAGATGTCATGCATGTCTGTATAGTGGATGCAGTGTGTCACTGCAACCTAATTGGTGGCCTACAGGTGGCAAGTGGCCCAGGAGGCTTGAAATTGCAGACTGTGGTTCGATCAATTGTAATCTCCAACCACATGACCAGTGGAATTTAAGAATATGCCTTCCAGCCCATTATCTCCTATTAGCAGTTTTACACTACTGCGAATAATCTTAGGTGCTGGAAGAGCCCCAGTTTTGGCAACCTATTAAAAAAACAGTTTAATACAATCCAAGGAATGATGCCCACAGACATAAGCACTACATTGACCTCTAGTGGTTACATGCTTAAATGCAGACAAATTAAGTTATTTTGTATTTAGACTATTATTATTTACACTCCTTACCGTATGGCTGCTTCGGGATCTCTCGCAACACCTTTCAAGCTGCCAGTGAATAAATATTGTGCTAAGTGTATAGTTCCTTCAATATGTCCCCCTTCTGATGCTCTGGTTATTAATTCATAAGCACGCGTCTGTGGAGGGAAATTTTAGTTTACATTCACTTTCATCTGAATTTCACATTAATATTGTGTTAAACTGTTACACCTTAGAACATTTTTAAACATAAGGAACAGCAGGTAACCAAGAGCTAGGACATGTTCACAAATCCTGATGTCACATGAAGTGATGGGCATCGCATAAACACTCGCTTAGCAAGTTTTAGCCACAGCAATTGGAATAGGGATATCAATGGGATAAGAGATACTTATGATCAAAGTTGATCAAAGAAGATGGCCAACCCCACACAGCAAGAATAAGCAATGAGATGCCCTGAGAAGTGGAAGTTACTTTTTATTTGTAATGTATACATAACATAATACTCAAAGATACTATAACACATGTACTCTTATTTCCATTAATAATAAAAAAAATTAATTTAATTTCGGAGCGCTCTAATATTTTTAAATTTAATGCGACTTAGAGTTGGTATGAATTATTTATAATTCTGCTACCACACTCATTGTGTTTTACTCCCAACACAAAAATCAAAATCAAACAAAAACAGTATAAAAATAAGAGCGGAGCAGTATAATAAAGTGAACGTTTAGGTGATAAACAAAAAAAACAAGTAAAATTGTGACATGTTTGAGGATGTTGTACTAATACTCAATGGTCAGTAGATGGCCCCAAGTTGACACATCTCAAAGCACATGTAAAATGCACAAATACACATAATAGTGCAGATTGCTTTAAATAAAAAATGCTTTCAACATCACAGTAGGAGACACTGGCTCTGGATAGATGTAATGTCTGGGATGTAGTGATCCGGCTTCAGTGCAGCCCGAGAGATATGAGCATTGTATTTCTGCGCTCCTGTAGTCTCTACCCCTTTGGTGACATCAACGCGTTTCTCTGGTCAGCCCTGCTTCCTCAGGAGCTTGGAAATACCACGCTCATATCGCTCGGGCTGCACTGAAGCCGGATCACTACATCCCGGATGTTATATCTATCCAGAGCCAGTGTCTCCAACTCCACTACTAGATACATTTCAAACAAAGCTTGAAAGTGAGTAACGGCGTATGTTTATCTTTTATCATCACTGAGTTTTTAATACATTTTTTGCACTTTGTTTATAACATAACGTTATCATTATATGACTGAAACCTGATTTCCTTAACTTATCATCTGGGTAATTTTGGTATATTGATGATGATGTTGAGAGCATTGTTATTTAAAGCAATCTGCACTATTATGTGTATTTATGCATTTTCATCTACTGATCATTGAGTATTACTACAACATTCTAAAATTTCTCATTATACTTGGCTTTGGATTTATCACTTAAACGTTCATTTTATTATACTGCTCCTCACTTATTTATATACTGTTTTCGTTCAATAATAATAAACTCATGACCCTTTTCTTTAAAGAGATCATTCTATTAATTTTGTTTTAATTTTTATTGCATCATTTAGTTACTTACTGCATATTGTCTTTGGGGATATAGGAAAACAGAATCAAAAAGCTGCAGATCTGCTGTCTGCAGCCTTTGCAAGCTCTCCCCTCTTACTAAGATCGGTCCGGCCATGCAGGGTTGACTCATTGGTGGGGAGTGAAATGCAGTAGATCCGGCTGCAGAGATCGTGTTTTTAATCGGTTTGGCTACTTACTATGGGATGGTGCCAAGGCAAGGTTGCAGAGGATATGGTGCTTGTGTTCCTTTAAATACTTACCAGCATTTTATAATAGTCATTATTGTTTTCGCATTTTAAAAGGCACCATTTATTTTAAGACATGGCCAAAGCTTGATCAGCATAGAGCTACTGCTATACGTACTTCGTTGATTTCAGGTTCTCCGGGATATATGCCATTGAGGTGCATAATTCCAAGGTTGAATGCTGCATCTGCATTGCCCATAATGTATGCTTTCTTCCAGTATTTGGCAGCTTTTACATAGTCTTTTCTGAACGTATGGTAATACCATCCCAGGCCATTTAGTGCTTCATTCTGTCCCTGTGTGTTATGGATTTAGAAAGGAAACAGGGTCAAATGCAACTGGTATAACTGATATTTTGATGTATCTGTTATTTTCCCCCCTCCTCATTTTGGAATTCTATTCAATTTGCCTGATAACATTTCTCTGAATTTCAATTTATTCAATACTAACCAAACTGAAATTGCATTGGGAAGGTTGGTTCCTAGCTATTTTTAAATTGATGTCACTGGTGCAATGAGATCCGTCTGAAAACAGCTCACCCGAATGGCAACCAAATGACAGTCAAATCTTTCTACTATAAAAAACAAAAAAAATGAGTGAAAGTGAGTTAAAGTTCCCTGTATAAGGGGAAATATATTAATTAATGGCTAATGTTGGCTATTTTTAACAGCTAACGAGGTTGCAGTCAAATTGAAATACAAGTATGGCTGAAATAACAGAATTATTGCTTATTGTAAATAGTTGAATATATTAAACTTACAATTGTAAGCTGAATTAGGACATTTGAATGCCATAAGGCTGTTTTGGTGGTTAATAAAGAGTAAATAACAATTATTTTTTATTATTATTATTATTATTATGATATCCTTTACTAAATAAATGCATAGCTAAGAAATGTACTGCCACTTTATAAATAAATGATAAGAATTATAATAAATGAAGGAGTAGCAACAGTTTGCTAAGTAATCATCTGACCCCTGCTAAAAACACATAAAACGGGCAGAAATATTAATAGTACTTAATGTACTTATTTTGCAATGCTAAATTATGCATTATTTAATTGACATTTGTTTTTCCGAGGTAGAAAGTCAGGGTCACCTTAGCAGCCGATTTCTTCATCAGCTTCAAAGCAAGTTTCTTGTTCTTCGGAACAGCATCGCCCTATCGAAGATAATTCAAATCGGTAAATCATACTTTATGGCAGATGTCTATTTGTAATAAACTACGGGCACTAGTAGCCTACAAAAAGGATATCTATACTTTGGGTTCCAATATTAGTTGTCAAATCCATCTGCTAAATCAACTTCTATTATTCATTACATTATCGCTGTCAAGTTCTTTGGCCTAGTTCGGTCAATGGTTATGGAGAGCAGGTGGCTATATCCAGTTGGGTGTTACTTATTGAGTCTTTATCCTCTATAATAAAAAGGGTTTTGTTCTGCACAGATTCCTTCATACTCTATATAAACTGTGCCTAACAGCATAGGTTTTAGGTCCTTTACTTTCTTGATATAATAACCAATATTATATCATTTAAACCAAGTTTGTAAAATACGAATTTACATTTTCTAAAAAGGATTCTTCTGCCAACTAGTGGATGTATCTGTGTATTACCAGGTTAGCAACATTCTTCATTAAAACTATGATGGGGGGGGATTTAAAACTTGGTATATATAAGCTGGTTGAATATCACTTTGAAAAATAGAAATAGTCAAATAAAACCAGAAAATACAGTACGGATGATAGTATCTAAACTTACTACTGGGAAATAAACCACATGTACCTTAAATAAAAGGATTGCATAATCGTACATTAACACCGGATCATTATTCTCCAGGGCACCTCTCTCGTACCATTGTACGGCTGCATCAGTATTCTTAGTTACACCTTGTTGACCCCAAAAATACATCTGTGCCAATCTGTGCTAGAGAACAATATAAGGTATATTAGCAGTGACAACCATTTTCACTATCACAATAAATAGGTGCCCTGAGAGCACAATTTGAGCTGGGAAGAGCTGCATATTTAATGACCCATCTAATGAGTAAATACTGATCACAATAAATTATTTTTAAGGTAAAAAAAAAAAAATAAAAAATAAAAAAAGTTATTCACTAAGCTCTGAATTGCAGCAAATTAAAAAACCAAGTGGTTGATTCACACAGCACCAAATTTTGACAGTGGATTCCAACCGGATTGACAACTCTAAAATTTTCTAAAGCCCAAGTATGTAGAAAATTGGTTATTCCAACTGAAAGATTGCTGTTCATTCATTATCCGGTTTAATATCAATCATTTAACACTGCAGATGTGCATATCTGAATTTGGAGCAAACATTTTACTGTATTGTCTTTTTTAGGGACATTGCAGTGTATTGATACAATGTTCCATTAATCTAGTTCTTTGACCTACTACATGGCGCAAACATGTTATAAAGCAGCATGATCTACCTGAGCCCGCGCATCCCCTCGTTCTGCGTTCTGTTTAAGCCACAAGAATAAATCATCATCTTCTCTGGTTTGTTCTTTCAACATATCATCATCCATTAGTCTTATGGCTTCCACATATGCCTGGAAAGAAACCAGATTAATTAATAGGGTATTTAAAGTATTCAGACAGTCAATGTTTGCCACTTACATAAAAACAAAATTCTTATACATACATATAGACATATAGATATATATACACACACACATACATGATATTGATACTATACATGATAGTATATATTATACTATTATCTTCACTCCAAAAATAAAAAAAAACACATAACATTTTAAATCCCTTCCTATCCTTGAGATGGACTTGTTAAACGGCAAAGAATCAAATGTTTACCTGTTCATGTTTTGTCCATCGATCTTTTGGGGTTTTCTTTGCGATACTCATGTAATAAGCATATGAAACGCTGTAATCCACCGGATAGTTATTAATACCTTGGAAGTGACTGTATCCAAGTTTCAGTAAAGCAAGCCTGTCACTAGCTTGTGCTCCGACCAGGCTATATAATAAACCCTAGACAGAGAGAAGCAAAGGACAAATCATACAATCATGCTCTTCAGCCACTTAGCCTACAGCCCTTCTTTTACAGTACTATCCATGTGCTGAATTACAATGCCGCCTGACGTCAGATTATAGAGAAATCGGTGACATTTAGGAGCAGAAAAGACAATATAAATGGCAGATGAACTGTTTCAATGGAATGGTTTAACTTTGTAAGGTCTATAATCCTTAGCTCCTGTTCGCCTTTAACAATTAGTGAAACATGAAGAAAGACAATGTAAACATGCATATACATGTAACAGATTAAGTTAATAGCCATGCAGAGTAAAGGATTGTTATAAATGTATATAGGTCCAGAGTGTGGGAATAAATTGTAATACCAAGTATGGTTGCAATGGATACAATTAATATTTATATAATGGGATAAGATATAACCTAGTATGGTACCTGGTCAGGATCTATAGGCACACCGAGGCCTAATTCATTCATCACAGCCAGGAGGTAGGAAGCTTTGTGATAGCCCAAGCAGCTTGCATCCACTAGTGAAGGAAGAGCAGTACCAAGATGGTGGACACCGAATGGCAGCTTATTTAAGCTACTTTCATACAGATCTCTCCCCAAATCCAGTAAAATGTCAGCAGTAGAATCTGGAAATAATATAGAAGCCCTTAGGATCATTCAGGTGTCTAATAAAATACTATATAAATGGCTAAACATATGTCAGAAGACAAAAATGAAAATTAACTCTGATTTACACAGTATTAAAGTTCTTTTAAATTACGGCTATTGTGAAAAAGGGGCACAAAGCATTCATTCCTAGTTACCTGACTAGATTATGAAACAAGATAACAGTAATATATACTGTAAAAGAGACAAAGTAGAAGCACCCAACATCCTATAATAAAGTTATCATTGACATATTAGGATTATTCTATAATAAGCAGTTTTTAGGGGGCTTGAAGAATTGTGAATATTTATAGTTTTGCATGAATGTTTCTAAATATTAATTTTAGTTTAACTTAAATCCCATAGTTTGTAAAAACAGTTTGTGTGAAAATTTGACTTTTTCACACTTCTAACTTTTAAAAATGACGTTGTTTTAGAAGCATTATTCATATCCTATTTTGAGTGATCAATGATTGCTTAATCGAGTAAAATGTTCTTAGAACATATAATATTGATCTGTTACATGACATTTAAAGGATAAGGCACATACGCTGATCAATGCATGAATATAACTTTTTAATGGCTTTTGTATTTTTGGCAGTATATTTCATTCACATTAAATAAGAAATTAATATTGCAAAAACAGAAGGGAGTGTTGGAAAACTATACAGTAAAAACTCTATACTAGCTATAACAAAATCATTCACATAAAATGTACCTATCACTGGTACTGGTTACTGGTACAATATGCAATACCTGATAAATCTATGCTTTTTAGGAAGTTAATTAAATGGCTAAATTGCTGTCTTTCCTCTTGTTTCCAAGGTATCCCAGGGCAGGTGGTTTTACGTCCATGTTTAGAATAGAGTTCAATATAATCGTCCTTTGAAGTATCTGTAACAACAAAATGCCATTAGTTGCAACAGACAGTATTTTTACTTGTATCTGAGCAATGGTAGGGCAGTAAAAGGTATGAATGGACATGATTTGGCAACGTGAACTTTATCACTTGACGCTATCAAATTTTTTCACTTTATCATTTGACACCATCAGGGAATTCAAACTGAACTCCCAATAAAATTCCATATTAACTGGTGACTTGGAAACATTTTTGGCCTGTAATGTGAAATCCACTTTGAATTATTGACATAAGGGACAATTCTCGATCCATCTCTGGATATAAGAAGTCCATTCTACGTCACCTACTGAATGCAGCCAAAGCCCTTATCCCTGTGTACTGGAAGCGAACTGAGGCCCCCACGGTTGAAGAATGGCTACACAGGATCGGAGACATACAGTTGGCGGAAGCACTGCAGGCATCCCTGACGGGTCGGGAGGCCAGGCACGCGGAGATGTGGCAACCATGGTTCGTATACCAGGCTAGAGGGCACTGAACATCTCGTAGGGGGGGAGGGGGACCGAGAGACAGATTACGCCCCTACTCCACCAACGCTCTTGGGGTTGGGACCACCCTATCACTGGAGGTATATTCCCAGGGCAGACGAAACCAAAATCAGCCCACCGACCCGACCCTCCCACACACACTTTGCGACACCGAGAACACATGGCCCAACCGAGACTTCCCTTCTCCCACACGACTACAACCCTTGCGCACCCACGGGGTGCACTGTGGGGACACGGGGGGGGACCTGCTATGGCCGCTACTCTCCTTTCTCCCTTTCCCTTTTTCTTTACCACGCTAACCCCTCTTACCTATCTAACACATAACACACAAAAACGGGGGACAGGAGAGGGGAAAAAACCAAAAAAGGAATACATGATACTGACACTACTATCGGTACATCGAACTGCGGGACATGGGAACACACCCATGGGATAACTTAACCTAATCCTACGATCAAGGTACCTACGCTTCTCACACACGAGGAACCGGACAAATATGTCCAGCCTATCACTATGCACTCCTACTGCAATGTACACTGCATCTTATGACTGCATCCGAATTAGCGCTACGCTTTGTGTTAGAAAACAGCTTACAAGCACTAAGAATGTCACATGTTATGTATATGTCCGTGTACCAGAACTGCCACGGTTGTCACTCTACACACTTTACCTCTCTGTTATCTTATGTACGCCTACTGGTAATCACGAAACTTATCGTTGTAACTAAGTCCCGATAGGAGACTTGGTATTGTGGACACAAAAAGTTTGATTCAAAATATAGAAGCAACACTGCAATATTTTTGTCTTCTACGTAGGCCTGCGAGCCGAATCTTTCTGTAAACCTTTTTCTTCTTAAATAAACAGATTTACAAAAAAAAAAAGTGACAATTCTCACTAACTGATAAACCTGCATATATTCCATAATTTTTTAAACTGACAAAAGATGGGCAGTTTTCAGTGTTAGTACGCATAGGAATAAGGAACATTTTAAGTTATTTTGTGATCTTTTTAAATGAATTGTGCAAATTACATTGTAATCACCGAGAACACTACAGATTAATGTAATGGGTAATATGCGTCCTTGAACACGGTTTTCAATAGCGTTAACAAGAAAATAAAAAGGGAATCTCTTGGCATCCCAGGATCGAAAGATGAGAAGCTTTGGATTCACGTGCGGTGCTTGCCATGCATGCAGATCAGGTCCCCAGTGCTCCTCCGTGAGGAACATAGGATTGGACCAATAATGGAGGAGGTCATCAACTTTGATGATATTGCTGTAGGGGGAAAGGTGAACAATACTGACGGAGTTTTGACATTGGAAAAAGGAGTAATATATAATAATAGGGACAGGGCAGCGCCGTCTTTACAGCATCATAGGCCCCCGGGCAAAGCAGTGCACTAGGGCCCTTCCTTTGCAACCACTTACAGGAAAACAATTTAATTATAGATAAACGGATGCCATTGTTGTACCATAGCCTTGAAACTTCATTACGCTCTGTTCCATTTTTATTTATTATTTACATATAGTAGGTAGCAGGGGAAGGAAACCAACATGGACTGTTAAACATCTTAAAAGAACGTTATCATCTTTTTACGTCTTCAAAAAATGATGTGTGTTGGTTTTGTCTTGCTTATGTACAATTAGTACGTTTACATTGTTTTTGCCAAGATACATATTAGCAACAGCAAGATCGGAGATCTTACTTTTGATACAGTACAGATAACAGCTGATAATGAGGTGAGTATTTAACCTAAACGTTCAATAAAGAGGGTTTGAAGGTTCTGAATAATATACTGAAAAGTTGGCAAGTCTATGGGGCTCCTATGCTCATGGATGCCCCAGCGTGCCATGCGTTAAGATGAATCTGGGACAGGTGCACGATAGCGAAAGGGATACAAGTTTGTATTTCTAACGCTATAGTGTTTCTTTAAGGATGTGTGAACTATGGCTATTGCTAAATTGTTAAAATTTTGAGACTACTGACAAGCTTCATATTATTTTAAACGTGATCATTTGTAGACAGCAGGTGGTGACTGGTATACAGGCATATGTCTATGTCTGTTTTAATGGGTACTCACCTTCAGTCTGAGATTCATGTATCTGCCATATTACATCGGAGTAATATCTCACAATGTCCTGAGCAGTAGCGCACCTCTGATAATATCCAGCAATTAGTTGATAAATACCTTCTTGTAATAGTGGGTTTGAAATCTAAATAATTAAAAACAAATGGAACCATTAACAGAAAATTAGGAAGGCTTTGGTTGACCAGTAAGAACTATCTCCAGTAGATAATTGGATTAGTATAACAATCAATAAAATACCTGTAAAACCAGTATATGCCTTACTGAAATAATGTGATGTTATGGCACTGCATAGAACAGAGGCCCAGGGAAATTTTGGAAATTTCCAGAGGACATATAATCGTAAAACGGCAACTCCTATAGTATTATATTTACCTCATCTATTTCCAAAGTCCTTAGACGATAATATTTGACAGGTCCAAAGAAACCATCAATCCCAAGTACGTACTTGCTACCTCCAAGAACCATAAATCCAGAAGTATCATCAAAATAGATGTCGTCTGCCACACTGGAAAAGAACGATTTATTTATTTGTTTTAAAATACTTTATTTTGAGCATTGCAAAACAAACAAGGCAGCATCGACATTTCACAAAATGTTCATATTAAGAAGAATGACAACAAGAAGTCGTATATGCCAGTGACAGTGCATTTTTTTATAATAATAACAGGATTACACTAAGTTAGGTGTAGATGAACGGTGAATTGTACTTAAAAAGAACTGTGTGGCACATATTCATCTGTCCCTAAAACCTTGGTGTGGGACATGCTAACATAGGAGAAACAGTGGTATAGAGTGGTATAGAGAATGCATAACATGGATTAATCACATGGGCAGAGCGCCTAGTGGCTCAATCGACAATGAGTTGGTATCAGGGTGGCGGTACGGAAACCGGGACCCCTGAGTGCCCGATGAGAAGTTGGGAGTCTTCAGCGTGGAAGTGGATTATCAGGGCCTGGTGCAGGGTAACCACACGCCCTCTGGTGTTGAGCACCAGCGTTTGTGCAGCCACATACCAGAACCCTGATTCAGCTACAGCGGATCCCAGGAACTAGGAGATATGCAGACCTCCCAGGAACTGGATAGGGAGGCTCTGCAGCAAGAATGTATCCTGTACAGAAACAAGTCAAGGCTAGGATAGTCACCAGACATGAAAACAAGACAGAACTAGTAGAACCCAGAACCAGAGAAGGATAGGAAGCTAAACCCAGAACATGTATACAATACATAAGGGAACATTAACTAAACAGGGGCAGGACAGGACTGTACATGGACTGGGATTACAAAATAAAACAAGACAAGATATAATAGGCAAAACAAGAGGAGACATAACTAAGCACTATGTATAAAAAGTATGGGGATTTAGTTACATTATATGATCATACATTGCATAAGCCTGCCACAACGCCAACGTAGCGCATATTCGGCAGGTCCTATACTGCCTAATGTTCGCTAAAAGAACCATACTAAACCACAATAGCACTTACCTGCAAGAAAGGGCAGAGACTTGAAACACTGCTGCAGGTCCAGACTGAAACAAAAGGAATGATGGAAAACAAACGGGTGTGGCAACATAAAACAAACATTTAAAGGAAACCTGGACACTGGGAAATCCAGGGACGGAATATAGGAATGAATCCAGAAATCCCAGCATAAAGAAAACCAGACATAGAATAGAAAACCAGAAAAACCAAGAAAAACTAAACAAGGATTGTAAAAAGGAGTACTGGATACCAGAAGCCAAGGCAAACATCAGAACAGAGCAGAGCAGATCCTGACAGTTAGATGGCAAACAGTGTGATAAGCATAAACTAAGAAAAGGTTCCATGCATCTTGTGTGAGTTGCCCCTAACCGAGGGAGAGGCGGGGGGAGGATTAGAATCGCCATTGCCCAATGACATGGTCTGGGTGCCCCCATGTGAGGCTGTGTTGCCCAACGACATGGTCTGGGTGCCCCCTTGTGAGCACTATTTTGCTTGTACTAAGTGAGGACCAAGCATTTCACATAGCATTTATAAATAAACGAGAGTCAACTTGAAAAAAAGAACAATAATGTAAAACTAGCACGTGTTACAAACATACAACTTAAAGTAGATTGTGAATAGATATGAGGGATGTGGTACAACAGTCACCTATATCGATCATGGCACTGGGTTCCAGTAGGTGCCAGCCTGTGGAAAATCTCTGTAGTGGGCCCAGCATTCTGGCTCTTGGTCAAGGACAACAGTCCCAGTGTTTCCAGAAGGGTGGATGTCTCTGCCATTGAAGGAACTGTATGGGTAGTTCCATTATGGTGCACCACTAGAGAGCCTGCAGCCCTCCACCTGTAGACCAACCCAGCGGCACACAGTTGACTGGTGACTGGGCCAAAATATTTACGCCGTTAGAGAATGGTTCTGGAAAGGTCTTGGAAGAAGGAGAGAGGTGAATCCTTAAAAGTTACAGGTGTTTTACCTTTCAGTGCTGACATTAAAAAAATGTTTATCTTGAAATTTCAAGCATCGAAGGATGATGTCTTGGACCATGGTAGATGGTGTTTTGGTAAGGCCAGATACCCGATAAACATCTATGGATATCTTCTTGGCCGTTAGCAGTCGCCGTATTTAATGAAGAACTTCCTCCATAGTAATCGCAGCAAGGCTGCCCCTAATCTTGATATGGGTTCTGCACTGTGGTCCTCCATTACTGTTAGTTGTGTCATTATGGTCCTTTGATGGGTCTGAAACTGCTGTAGTGAGCCATGTCAGATTAGCCTGCACATCGATAATGTCCTCCTCAGAAGCCCTCACTTAATCTGACACAGCTTGCACCTTGGTTTTGATTAGAGACACATCCACAGCCAGCAATTTGTGAATGTCTGCCAGCAGGAACTTTATATCATGTTTGGTCGTTAGTGTTGAGTAGTCGGTGGGCACAGGAGAGGAATGTTGCAGCGTGCTCGATACAGGTAAGGCCTAGTAGCAGTGGCATGGTGTGGTGGACTTTCTCTCGTCACGAGTTCCTGGAGGAGCCTGCTTCAGGACTATGGGCCATGCTAAAAGGCTATTGAAAGTCTGGGTTCGTGGCATTCCCTTGGACTGTTCGGGAACCGAACTAACCCACGAACTACAGACCACCTCTGAGCTTATTGACCCTTGTTAATCTCTCCTGACAGTTCTATCAGTGTGGATTTTAATTGTGCACGAGAATGCAGGCAGTAGTGTTTGGGCGTCGATTGCGTGGAACTAAAATTGGACACTGAAACTCCCGAACACCGCTGAACTTGGACAAGCGCCTGCTCCTTCCCCACACACATCAGGAGAGCGCCCACAGGGACTTCATCTACCCACCTAAAGATGGTGGCGCTCAGGATCTAGGTCCGGGCAGAAGAGAAACATTAAATATAGGTAATATGGGGAGCTATGGGGCACTTGGGGGCGACCAGGGAGGCTATTAGATGTATTCGAGTCGGGAGGGGGGTTAAAAAAAAAAAACGAATGCGGCCATGAAAGTGTTATATTTTCATGGAATTTAACAACAAAGTTCTTGCATTTATTATGTATTTATTCACTTCCTAACTGCCTAAAATCCTGAGTTTTCTTAGATGCCGTAGCTACCTTTTTGTTCACCACAAACTTCTTTGGTTATTTCAGACAATAGTGACCAAACAAATATTTCTCAAAAACAAGCTTTGCTGTCAATAGGAGCATAACATAGCATATTACGAATTTACTCAAAGAACAGCTTAGTGAATATACCCTAAACACACTTGGACTCTATAACATACATGAAAATGGACATTAGGGAAAATATATTTACACAATAAATAATTCCCAACAATGCTGTGATTGACCACCTGGCACCCTGACTGGGTACCTCCACCAATCGCTGCTTCCTAGCAATCCTTGAGTACCATAAGCACCTCCAAGAACCCATGACGATTTTCAGTTTGTCACAAATGCTAATTTCTAATGACTGAAAGTCTGCAGTCTTTTTTTTAGTGCTCCTGTGAGATACCTGTCTCATATCATACAGAAAGTTACTTACAGAGCCATTGCTTGATGCTAGAATTAGCTGTTTCAGAGCTCTGAGACAGGGGGATAAGAAGCACCGCCTTTTTCCCCTTACAAGTCTAAAAAAGAGGTGCTCAACCATGTCCTAGACCTTTCAATGTGGCCTGCAAACAAATTAGAACTCTTCCAACTGAAAGATCAGAATTTAATTTAAGCGTGTTGAAATTGCATTCTCCACATGCTGCCATCATATATCAGCACCAGACTGAATTCTGAGACAAATTCCAAGATTTCTGCACTCAAGAAAGGACTCTGAACATAACACCTTCTCTGTGATTGTAATGTAAACTCCAGGGGAACTCAGAATCTGAACAAAAAATATAAATTTAATGAAGGCTCTGACTACCCACAACAGGGATAGTTCCATTTAATTATTAAGGAAAAAATAAGCAGAGTCAGTGTTTCATTAAGTAATAGTGTATGTCATAAATTGTCCTGTATATTTGTTTTTTATGACTCAAAGACGTTGCATTCTTATAGTAAGTGCATGCTAACAACCTTACTTTTGGATTTTAATTCAGTTTAGCTAGGGTGTACAGTCGTGTGCACATTGTAGGGATGCATTAAGGTAGATAAGAGGTCTTAGTACTATGATCAGTTGTTTAACTGAATCTTCCATTCCTTCCATAGTTATATAGACTGAAAAGAGATATGTGTCCATCAAGTTCAGCATTTCTCACATCTGTTTTTGCTGTGGAGTCAAAAGAAGGCAAAAACCACAGTTTGAATGAAGAAATTCCTTCTTGACCCCAGAAAGGCAGTCAGATATCTCTTTGAATCCCACAAATTAAAAATTATATCAATGAATATTATATTTGTGCAAGTATTTACCCAGTTGCTGTTTAAACATCTGTACAGACTCTGATAAAACCAACTCTTCAGGTAGAGAATTGAGCATCCTTATTGTTCTTACTGGAAAAAAAACAATCTTTCCTTTGCCTTGGACTAAATCTCCTTTCTGCCAGTCTAAATGTGTGACCTTGTGTTCTATATATAGTCCTGTTTATGAATATTTTTGTATAACAAAACAGTAAATCAAAGAATACAGGTAGCGCCAAGGATAAGATATTAAAAGTAGGAACAATAAAATGTATAAAAGCAAGAATAATAAATATATTAAAAAAAAGTCCAAAAAATAAAAATACCAAATAGTAAAGCACAGTATCAAATGTAGCAGTAGATCTTCTACTTGAAGTATGGAGGTTTATGGGTAGCTTCGCTTAGCACCGGCATATGAAACGAAAGCAAAGACAAAGGTGGACCAATAGTGCAATATGATAAAGTGCAATAGGACAAATGACATTGAGAATAGATGTCAACTCACATATGGTAGAGCTATATCCAGCTCTAAGTACAACAGCATGTAGTGGTTTTCAATCCCCACTTGTAGGATATCCCTCTGATTATGGTACACAGTAGTAAATCACAGCTGGATAACATTGAGGTAGATCCAGGGCTCGAGTCCTGCAAGAACGCATGGGTACGGCGTTCCTGCACTTTTTCCACAGCAGGAACATCGTTTCCCTTAGTAGTTCTGCCAGACTGTTCCAGGACTGGTGCACAGGGTGCACCGTGCCAAAGGTGGGGGGTGCCGTGCAGGGCAGGCCAATGGCCTGTCACAGGGAGCCCAGCAGGTGGCCAATCGGCGACCTAAGGGCACCCCCGGAGTGGCGCTTATTTAGCAATGCAGAGTAGGCACCTGCTTGTCGTAGGGGCAGGTGCCTACTCTGCAGCAATATACTGGACTGGGCTAGGTTGAGGACAGAGTCAGACGGCAGCGACGGAGCGCTGTCTTAGCTGATGATCCTCCTGCTCCCTCTATGGTAATGCCGGGAGCCGGAATATGACGTAATTCTGACCCAGCATCACTAAAAAGCGCGAGCAAGGAGAGCAGAGAAGGAAGAGATTCGAAGACACTGGACACCAGGGAGAGGACTCAGAGGACTCCTAAAGGTAGGAGAAACAAGCAATACAATTAATTTGTGAGTGTGTGCAAGACTGTGTAAGTGTGTATGTGTCTGAAAGTAAGTGTTTGTGTGTGTGTCAATAAGGGTGTCTATCAGTAAGTGTGTGTGTCTGTCAGTGTGACTGTCAGTGTGTGTGTGTCTGTCTGTCTGTCAGTAAGTGTGTGTGTGTGTCTGTCTGTCAGTGAATGTGTATGTGTCTGTCAGTGTGTGTCTGCCAGTAAGTGTGTGTGTGATTGTATGTGTCTAGCCTTGAAGCACAGTATATAGGAGAAATGGGAAATTAAGTATGGTGTCCCTATGGGAGTGAGCACCTCTAAAGGGGTCGAGTAGATCCTGACAAGTAATATAAAAGTGTCCTTATGAAAAAAAAATAAAAAATGATATAAGCCCTCCTTTGGGACCTGTAGTAGTTAAAACTTAACTTTTAAGAAACATATGTGTGATAAAAATAGAATATTTCAAACAAAAAGAAAAAAGGGAAAATACATTTATACACAAATGATAAATAAAATCAGGTAGAGTCCCAATTCTTACACAGTGAAAGCCTGGCAGTCTGGGAGCACTCCACTAAACCGTGCTTTCTGGCAGTAAGCCAAATGACAAATTGCTAAATTGAGTTTGTCAGGCTTAGCTGAGTTTTAACCCCAAATCAATCAGACTCTACAAAAAGGACCATCTACTCTGAGGGCATTAATAAATGAGCACGGATACCTTGGACGTAGTCCCGAGAGAATATCTCTATATACTTGTCTTTGTAAACTGTCACTTTACAATATATATGCATACAAACGTAAAAATTTTTTTTTTTGGGGGTGGGATATATCTTGTTCCCACATTTGTTTTCCCCAGGACTTGACCCCTGGGTAGATCATATGGAAGCAGCCAACAGTGCTCTCTATATAAGTAAGTAATAATAAGATAAGTGACTAAAGAATCCTTGGTGGAGATTATACCACTCAGGCATGAATCATAAAGCGGTCAGTCTGTTCACTTTATTGTAAGTATATTTCCACTTATCTTATTATTACTTACTTATATACAGAGCACAATTGGCTGCTTCCTTTGTTATTCCATATGATTTACCTCAACATTATTCAGCTGTGATTTACCACTGTGTACCATAATCAGAGGGATATCCTACGAGTGGGGATTGAAAACCACTACATGCTGTTGTACTTAGAGCTGGATATAGCTCTACCATATGTGAGTTGACATCTATTCTCAATGTTGTTTGTCCTATTGCACTTTATCATATTGCACTATTGGTCCACCTTTGTCTTTGCTTTCGTTTCAGATGCTGATACTAAGCGTAGCTACCCATAAAGCTCCATACTTCAATAAGAAGATCTACTACTACATTCGAGACCGTGCTTTACCATTTGGTATTTTTATTTTTTGGACTCTTTTTTATATATTTTATTGTTCTTCCTTTTATACATTTTAATGTTCCTACTTTTAATATCTTATCCTTGGCATTACCTGAATTCCTTGTTTTACCTGTTCTAGTTTCTTTGGGGGTTGGAGGGATCCCCCTATTCACAGGTGTGCTGCCTCTCACCCTATTGTATTTAGTTTGTTTAGTGCTGCTCTATCTCCTGTTTTGCGTCTTAATGGCTTGTATCGGCCCGAATATATCGTCGCCATCTAAACTAAAGATGTTTAAATTTGTTAACCTTTCTTCATAACTAAAATTCTCCATTCTTTTTAGTAGTTTTGTTTTTCACCTCTGCATTTTTTTCTCGTGGCATAATATCCTTAAATTTTCATTACTATTTAATTTATGTAAGAGCGGTCTCTTGTGTGACCCACAATGTGTACCAAAGTGGCCTCGGGTTGACCACTGTCCTAAAGTAAACATCCTGCAGACAAATCCTTTAGCTCCTTCACAGATTTGAACAGGGATTAAAAAAAATGAACCCTGCTCTTTCAGTTCTTGTTGAAAGAAAGATAGGGTCTCTATGGATATATTATTTCAGATAGTGTGTAGGGAGGATGTGTGACTCACAATCAGGTGAGGTGTGGAAAGGGCTGCAAAACTGAAGTAATTTAAATTCTAAATGGCCAACTATTGAACAGTGAAACTACAGAGGTATGATCTATACATCAACACCACTTCATTAAAGGGACACTTTCAAATTGACAAAGACCTTTGTCACTAAGCTGACATTGTTTTGGTACATTAACTGACTCTTCAATCACTTAAGGACCTAATATTACATTTTCAAATAAACAACAAGGGGTCCCACTCATCAAATGAAGATCCACACTTGGTACCCCACTTAAAGAAAGGTCACACCAGTAGTAGATAACATCAAAAAGAGTCTGGGCACACACCGTGGAATTAAGCAACTTTTAATAGGAACAAGCAAAAAGACAACGTTGCAACTCCATCCCAGTATCAAGTAAAAAAAAATATTGGCGTCATCGATATCTGATCCTCAAAGACCTTATGCCGAAATGAATGGTGTTGCTAACTGAACATTGGATTGAATGGAATGTTCCATTTTGGAACAGAAACCAGGAAGGAAATCCTGATATGTAGACAAAAATATTTAAAGGATTAAGTCTATCAAGTTTAGACTTTCAAATGTCTTTGTTTTGCTATTGATACAATAGAAATGAAAAGAAATCCAAACAATTCCTCTTGAATATAAAAAGTGCAATAGTATGAATTTTTAGCACAACCACTTCTATTCGGCTTCCTGTCAGCTTTGCTAGGTCAAGAATCTATTCTCCGACCCTGATATTAGAGATAGAGCAACATGCGCACACAATATCTACACAACACCTATTCTACGCTATTACTCTCGAGCAAACACTTGCTACAGTTGGTAGGTTGATATGAAAGTTCAAAAACAAATTCTTTACCACTTTATATTTAAAGGGAAGCTGCCACTTTCATGGAATTTATATCATTGAATAAAACAGAAAGACACCTATAACTTGTGTCAACCCTTTCTTTCATTAAATGCTCTATTTTCTTTTTTCAATATGAAAGTCTATTGAAGTTTTTTGTTTTATACATTACAGACAGAAGTGTTGACCAAATACAGTCAACCATTTCCAAGTGAGCTACAGCATTGCTCGTGAAACGTACTTTCGTTGTTTAGTTACAAAAGCAAAATTATACCGGATTCCGTCCATGACGTCAACGGAACAGAAATATTAAAGTGGGTAGTGATGAATACAGAGGAAAATAAGGAAAGAAAAAGGAAAAGAGTCGGGAGTTGTGTTGAAGTGATTCCCCAAATTTTGTGGGTGGCTCTAAAAAACATGATTTTGAGTTACCTATCGCTGGTTTCCTTTCTATTGTTTCAATCTTCTGGTCAAATCTAATAAGTGTTGTGATTTCTGCCTTGTTTGGTAATTGGTAACTAGGATTTCCATGTGTTACTACGTGTGATGGGTTTGTTATGTTTTGTTGATTTGAGTGGAAAAAATCCCACAACTTGCATGCTTCTTTTGTGGCCGTATTGTTATGGAGTTGTTGCTATTTTTTCATACGAGCAGTTAATCGGTATTTAATGTATCATATCTCTGCAGGATGGGATCAGTTGTGATGCCCAGTGTCTGACTATCAGTAACAGATCCGCAATTAGCACTTAGTATGTTATTTATTTATTTTTACTGTGTTAGACAGCTGACTTGGAAAGAGCAATAATATAAAAGTTTCTGAAGGGGCATGTATGTTATTTGTTACTGCTGAAAGTAGGTTGGTTACCCTGTCCCAGTAAGTTTAGATTTTCGGTTTTGACCACCAGATGTGTAGCAATGTTCCAACATCCCCGCATTAATCTCTAGAATGTATTGCTTGGTATATTTTGGACCATTAGTCTGGCTCTTTTCTGTTTTCTTTTAAATGTAATTGAAAAATTGAGTAATTCACGTCACAATCCAGCGTGATCAGGGCACAGCTAGGGCACATGATGACAGAAAAGCCAAGATGGAGGCACTCTAGTCCAGGATGAATGTACAGATTTGTAGATTTAATTGTGCTTTGTCACAAACACATATTTTTGTAAATATACAAGGTTATTTACTTAAGTGAGAATTTAAGGTGAATTCAATGTGAATTTCAAATTGAAGGGCAGTGCAGTGGAATGGAAAGCAGAGCAAACTTAGTTTGACGTTAAATTTAAAAATTAACTTTGAATTATTATTATTAAGTGAATAACGCTAACGATGTATAACTAAAGATAAAGTTAAAAATCCTGGGAAGTGACACTATCTTTAATAATAACACCAGCTGTTGAAGTTTGAAATTAAATCTATACTTTGTATAGAAATATTGTATGATTGTGCTCCTGATTTCATCCACCTGCGTGCAGAACACAATAATGAAAACCCTCCCCCACCACCAGTAGTCAACCACATGCGGACCATTGTGAAACAGAGCGGCAGGCTATGGGGTCCCCTCACCTTTTATTAAGGGGCAATATAGAGGCCTTGAAATCCAATATTTAATTGTTAGTTATGTATTTATGTGTGCTGCACTTTTCTACCCCTACACTGCCCTGTCGCATGGCTCCCTATTCAGTTCTTGGCCACTGTGTCTCCTTCAGGTAGCAGTCTAGAGAGCAGGGTAGGTCTCCTGGTAATACATTAATACACTTATTTGTAAATTTGTTGAAAAATAACATGTAACTAATTATTGGTTTCTTACTTGAAGGTTTGATGACCGTTACGTTGCAGGTCTGTTCCGATATGTGTTGCCAACATTATCTAAAAAGAGTCAAAAAGAGAATAGAAATACATTAAAGGGGGGAAAAAAAATAATAAAAGGAGTAAGATGTTTAAACAAGCCACATTTTAAAAATGTAGTAAATGCTTAAAGGAATGTCCCCTGATTATCCATGTCTGTGTAACATGACCTGTGACATGCCACATGTGTAACTGCAGACATCCCCTTCAGGTAATTATAGAAAGTTAATCTACACATTATGCTGGAGACATTTCCAAAAAATGTAGATTTAGAGCTATTTTTATTTAAAGCTATTTTCCACATCTACCCTAATTGCTTTAATAATTGATTCAAGCAGATAACAGGTGCTTTCCTCTTTTGTGCAGCATCCCACAATGCCTAGTGTGCAGGTAACCTCTCTAGACACTGAGAAATGCTAGCATGTAAAGATTATTTCAGCTTGACCTGTTAATATTGCAAATTCTTACAATTTGGCCAGCTCAGTAAAGACAGAATTTTTTTTTTTTGCATAACAAATCGACCTTATGACAGATACAGTTGATCTGTAAATGTACAAATAGGTTTATATTTCTGACCAGAGATGTAAGGGAAAAGAAAACTCTGTGTCCCTATTCAAGGTAGGGGCTTTGCACTACTATAGTATACTTTGTACCTGTGCAAATGCATGCACTCCTCCCTCTTACCAGCAAAGGATCAAGTGTTAAACCCTTACAAGGGGTGGAGAATCAGTCTGTTGCCACTGGTGGTGAATGCATCACGCCTTTAAATCCTATTAACTCCTTCATGACAATTGAGGTGCTATAACTATCATAATACATATGTATATGTATGGAGGGGTTAAAGCCCCCAGGAGATACCTCTTTTCCATATTGTGGCTGAGAATATCATATTCAGCTCTGATATGTAAAAGGAAGTTTGGCAAACCAGGCAATAGACTAGTAGTATTAAATATATTATCATTTACTCAGGGGAACATTGCAAAGTGTTTGGCATGAAAATGGATTTAAAAAATATATATATATATATATATATATATATATATAAAAAAAGAATATATTAGTGAAACTAAATAAACTAAAATATAAAAAGTAGTTATTACGGATTAATAAAAACACAAGACAATGCAATACCTTTCTTCCGTAAACGGTCATGTCAAGCCGAAACCACTTATAGAGAGGAATCTGGAGATTGGCCAACATGGCTACATCGACTCCAGTAACAAGTTGTACCTGGACATGAACTTGACCTGGTACAATAGAAGAATAGATAAATACCATTACACGTTTTTAAATAAACTGCATAACATTTACTGCACATTTGTTCGATAGATTAAATAAATATATTTCTTTGCTTTAAAGGGTTACTATAACACTTTTGAGAGGGGGAGGCCCCCCCTCTCAATTTCCAGTAATTCCTACAAATAAAAGGTTTCACTCTACGAGAAGCCTGTGATTCGACCATTTCCCCGGCTCAGAGTGCATGCGTGCACAGAGCGAGGGGGAGGGAGCGCAATGTGGATTGGTGGATGGTAAGGGACAGTTAGCTTCCACTTTCAGGCACTCAGACTTGCAAGGGTAAGATTTTCACAGCTGTCAGCAGTGTGCAGCTGCGCTGATGACAGACGTTAAATATGCACAATATTGACATTAGGCAGCCCGGAAAAAATGTTTTTTAGCTGCCTAAGTCATGTGTGGTGGGGTGCAACTACACAATAACAATATCTCTGTATGTGCTATGTTTCAAGCAGAAACACTGCGCATACTGACTCGTACCGCCATTACAAATTCAAATCATTGAGGTAGTCATGGTGGTTGGAGTAATGCTTTAAATTTGTTCTGTAATCAGATATTATCTCTGTATTCCTTGTAGCTTTTGTTGTTGATTATCAATGTATTGTTAATTCTCTTCAACAATTGTATTTCAACTGAATATTACATTTTTGCAGGAATTGCATAAAACACAATCAGGCAGTTTGCAACAGTGTTTCTTAAAACAGGAACTGGCACTTTGAAAGTAATAGTACATCCTAATGTCCAGCTAAAAGTTTGCTGTTAGTGTACTTATCAATACTGGCATGTGAGTTACCAATGTGGGAATAGGCAGGATCAGCATGAGGGCATGCAAATTACACAAGCGCAAAGGGGTGTGCCAACGTGGCGTATCTGACAGCCAAATTGATAGAATGCTAAGGAATTGCTCACACTGCACTTTATGTGGAATTGTACCTGGTATCCCCAAAAACGAGTGGGAGAGAGGCTCAACATGGAATTAGAGTGAATTTTACTTTTGAGTAATCATGCTAAAAACATAAGAAACTTATTATGGTGGAATTAAAGTGGACAAATTGTTTGCACTCCATGAGCCCAAAAGAACTCACTGAATAATTAGAACACATGTAGAAGATAGTCTCAACTTTTTAAACTATATTCCACAAATATATTTGCACTGCTGGAACATCAAAAATCCCATGCAATAGTTCAGAAATGAATTAATCAGTGACACTGAAGCTTCATAGAAATATTTGTAGTGCTAAGAAGGTTGTTATCTAATTTAAACATTATATAATAAAAACACGTATTGCTCCAAGAGTAGTGTAAGTGAAACATTTTCAGTTTAAAAAAAAAAAAAAAGAGATCATGGTTATCACACACATCCAGCTTTAAAAATAATCGTTTACTTGCCTTTTTGATTTAGAAACAACAAGGGGGTGGTGTACATCTTTTTAGAATCAACATGGTGGATGATTCCACATTCCTTGCTAGGGCAAAAATCTAACAAAAAGATCCAGGCTGAAAATGTAAATCTGCACACAAAAAAAGAAAACCAAAATAAATTTAATTAACATGACAATTGACATGTGACAATTTTATTTATTTCATGAAATATATGTCTTAATTTGTACTATAACGGAATGGGTATGCAGGCCGAAAACATAAATAATGAGCAGATTAATGGGTCTTAGCACTATAATAAATGTGCATGATTGTCATAGTACCTTGTACCTACATTCAGCTCTCACACTACATTATAGCTGCAAGAATTTGCAAAGATCATTGCAGCTATAGGACAGCACCTAAGACCTATGAGTCAGGCAGGTGGAACTTTCAGATAAAGGGACACGAAAGTCACCCAGACCACTTCATCTCATTGAAGGGGTCTGGGTTCAGTGCCCCTGTCCTTTTAACCCTGCAATGTAAATCATTACATTTTGTTATAAAGTTTAAAGTTAACATTGCAGAGTTAAATCTTCCTGACAGCCAGCAGAAGCGCTTCTGCTGCACTGACTGACTAAAACTAGGTCACGTGATGCGTAAGTTTACAGGAACGCATTGAATACTATACCTTCCTACGGGGAAGCTTGGATGCGCACGTGGCACTTGCCGTACATGCGCATCAGGTCAACAATGCTTCTCGATGAGGAGCATTGGATTGGACTATTGCTGGATGAGGCCATGCCTCCTTAATGATGTTACAGGAAGTGGAGAGGTGAGCAGCACGGAAGAAGCCTTTGCACTGAAAAATTGCGAGTGGAAGTTTTATTAATTATTTATTAACTTTTATTGGACATGTGAAGGCGAACCTGCAAATAAGTAGGGACAGGGGCACTATAGCGTTAGGAATACAGGATTGCATTCCTAATGGTATAGTGTTCCTTTAAAGGCTACTGTGTTAATTTTTGCTGTATTGTATGTGCAGTATGCATTTAATGAAAACACAATTTGGACTAAGCTCTTTCTCTTCCCTGGAAAGAGAAACAAATGTAAATATGTGACAAAAACGATACCGGGCACTAATATTAAAGGAACACTAGAGACTCATATAAAATACATTTGTTTATAATGCTGCACTGCTGGGGAGTTTCCTTTGCCCCAAACCTCCTGTAAAAAAAAAAATATATATATATATTTCTAAACTTTAGTGAGAAGGCTTTTGCCTCAATTCTGTTCCGTTCTCTGGAAGATCAATAAGACTGCTGATCTACCAATCTTATCTGATGCTTCACATATGGAAAAATTGGGACACAGCCGCATCTGACAATACTTGTCAAAGAGAAGCACTGAATTTGTGATCACTGAGTAAGTGATCAGGAAAAGCACCCTTTCACCTGTCTGATTGTCACTTTACAAAAAGAGAGTGAGCACGTTGAGCTGCTATCGTGGTTTGGAGTTATCAATAGGGGGTTAATTCGCTGGGAAGTGAGTTTACACTTGAGTTGCAAACTTTAGGATAAAAGTCAGTTTGGAAAGAGAAACAGATTGAATATGGAATTCCTTACTTTGCATTATTGTCCGTGAGCTGCTGTCTTCTTAACTCCAGCTCCCTGTTCCTAAATCTATTGAACATCATGATAATGCCATTGTGCTCACTGCTGGATGCAAGTGGAAAATCAAGCACTTTCACTGCATCTAAAGAGATAAATGAATGAAGATAACCAACCCAAATCAACCCTATGCATTACAGTATCACTTGATGTGATGCACCATTCTATAATATCTTGGTATATTTATCTAGTGAGAACATGGCGAAATGAAAGCTTTTTTTTTTTTTTATCAGAGAATCATTCATACCAAGATAAAATAGCAAATATCTTTGAGAAAATACAACAAGGTTCCCCTAGTTCTACATAGTACCAACCATAATAACATCATCCTGCTAAATAGTGTCAAAGGAATTGCAAGTTCATCTGGTACACAAGAGGAACAATGTCCCCACTCCATCTATAAAATAGCACCATCACCCCTTACAGAGTATACCCCAAAATATATGTGGGGTGATGGCATCTCGCATAGCATTGCACTGTAATAAAAATCTAACAATACACATGTCTAAATCGTCTGTCACATAAAATAGGCAACATTTTATAAAAGCCAACACAAACTAAAGAACAATTATAATCCACATGTTGCGGCCCAAAAAAAAACAAAGTCCCTAAAACGCGCACACAGAGGGACTTTGTTTTTTACCTGCAACATGTGGATTATATGGGAAGCACTGTATTGCATGCTGATGCAGGTGTGGCAAGCTGTGATGGTGCCGTCTGCATAATGAAAGTGCAGGAATGCAGAACGATAGATTTAGTTGGTAGTAACCTTTAGGTAAAGGAATCAATGTTTAATACATCTGCTGCCCCTAAGTGGACTTTGCAATCCATGCATTTCATGTATATGTAGAAAGTTACTGAGCAATGTTCTAAATGTTCACCAAGAAAAACAATTACAGGGGGAAGTTTTTTAAAGTGGACAAATGACTATGGAAACTAATGGTATGTCTATGGTAAAGACTCCACTGAATATCTCTTTATACATAACCTCAATTTTACAGATGTCAAATCCGCTTAAAGGCACACTGGTGCTTATAGAGAAAGAACAATTATGGAGAAATGTTCTTTAAGTGAAGCTATCAGCAGAAATAGTCTTGTTTTCTAAAGGGATTACTCCACCTTAAAACTTTGTCTCAAATTGATCTTTATACATTTTATTGCAAAGTTAATAAAAAATCACTCCAGGAACAAATACATTATTGTTTGCATAAAATTGATGTTCTTTTCATACCCACCAGTTTCATATGGGCAGGTAAAAAATGAGTGTTCTCTTTTCATCCATGTAACTTCAAAATACCATGATAAACATATCTGGTGGTTTCTGTAAGGACGTTGAAGAAGTGGAATTTGTTCTAACACAGCAAAGGTTTTCGCTGTCGCGTTTAAAATACTTTCGCTGTATTTTGCACCTGCTCTTACATTGTCATTGTGCACCACCCAGGCTCTGACAACCGAGTAATATACATCAATGGAGTTTTTGGAAAAATAGTCAGTACGATAAACCGTGATGCTCGGAAACACCAAGCTCACTGTACGTGTCCGCGTCGCTCTGAGATATTTTTTGTTTTTCCAACGCTTTTTGAACACTAGAATTCCTGTCTTGAATTCAGACGAAGCCATGATATCGACGTGGATCGTGCAAGGCCTGGTGCACATGTATTCCACAGAAATGTCTGAGTCAGCAGCGTATTTTGGCAAGTTGTGAAGCCTCACAAAATCCTCATACAAAAATGGTTGCTTGGTTTCTTTTGAAATGCATGTGGTCTCCTTCGCGAAACACAGCAATGGAACCTGGAGAGAGAAAGCAATTTTAATTCGGTCTGTTTTAATATGCTATTGGATTGCTTAACGAGACAATGAATCCTTTGCATTCGAGGGTGAGATAATATATGACCCTCAGGCACTGTAAAGGTTAAATGTTAAGCTGTTTAAATTGCATTCCCCATTACTGATTTTCTACTTTAATGCTGGTAATAAGATAGGCGTACACAAGGTGTGTGTAGGGAGTGTTCACGAACTCCGTACTGCTGGTCTCATCTGCATCAATTTTATAACATGACAGGAGGCGAGTATTTTGCATTAACTCTCTTTACTAAACTCCACAGCAGTAAAGAAAAACGTAAAGAGTAACAAATAAATCACTGAGCAGCATAGTATATAAGGGTCATGCTGCCTGTACACTTCCTCTTTCTTTACTGCTCCATCGCAGACAGGTCAGAATATCTGCTCCTCTGGAGCTTTATACATTTATACATTTATTGTCATTATCTATTTGTTCCATTCTATTGTTATTATCACTATTATTACTTTAATTTATTCCCTTTTATTTCTGTTCTGTACTGGGCTGTGGGACTAGGGGCTCTCTGTGGGTTTCTATACTCTTATCTGCCCTCTGTTTATTTTGGGACCTTCCCTGGGCCTCCCCTCAGTCTCCCCAGGTCCCCCCACTGCCCCCCTAACCTGGAGTGCCCTCCTGGGCTCCCTCCTTGCGGCCGGAATCGTTCGCGGCCGTTTTCGCGCCGGCCTGCCTCAAAATTTAGTCCCCGGCTTGCGGCCTACCTCGCGGCCGCCATTTTGGATCGCGGACATCGCAAGATTCCCGCGGCCACCTTAGTTTTGCCTCGTGCATCTCATTGGGGACTCAGTGTGGCTGTGCTAACTTGCTGTTACCTCTGCATTGCTGTTTTTCACACCTTTTGTGTCTCACACTGTGACTGAAGGATTACCTGCTCAGCACTCCATCTAGCTGCTATCACTCTGCTACTCAGCCTCTGTGCCTCATCTGCTTCTATCAAGCTATATCCTGTGGCTGGGTCAGTCAGGTCAGTGCTGCTGCCTGTTTATTACTGTGACCTGCACTTAAGGGTCCCAACCCTGTGCAACCGGGGTGAGCCCCCACTATAAATACGCTGCTTACTGGGAGACTAGCTGTTGCAGTTCTCTCTAACTGGGTGAGCCCCAGTTTATAAGGTCACTACTATACCCTGCTGGGGTTATTCTGGGCTTGGTCCCACCATACTATCAAATCTGACCCTACGCCTATTATCAAGACCTGGGTGCCCGTTTATTGCTGTGCCTTTCAGTGACGTATCAGCCTACCCTAACATGGAAGTTTCCCAGAACGTCCCTGTGGACTTCCAGGCTATGATTAACGCAGCTGTCGCTGCCTCTGTGGAGAAGGCACTCTCCAAGGCCCGAGCTCCGGCTCCTGACGTACCAAAAACCCGCAGACGTACACGCCACGAATCGGATTCCGACTTGTCCGACTATCAGACAAGGGATGACTCCCGCCCTAAAAAGCGCCATGACAAAGGCGAGGATTATGCACCCAAACCGCCTAAGGGTAAGGCACCTGCCAAGCGCAAATCTGCCAAACTACACACCCCGGCCCCGCGTCAGGAGTACTCTTCAGATGAAGAGCAGGGCCCTGCCCAGTCCATGTCAGTGCTGGATGAATGGCAAGCTGACGCTTGTGAGTCGGACTACGACGCATGGGGCTCGGACGAGAAATCTGTCTCCGCTTTCATGCGGGAGACCCTCCTGGGTGCTGCCCAGACTGGAGGTGTTGAGGACACTGCGGACGCAGAACCTCCTCTAGAATCAGACACCATTTTGGACCCCTCAGGTCAGGCGATGTTCGACCCCCGCAACATATGGCACCCCAGATCGGGTGACTGGTCACCTCCAGAACACCTTTCCAGGTTTATGCACCTGTGGCTCCGCAAACCTCTGGAGAAGGAGGTCCGCAGCCGACTCAGGTCTGAATGCCCACGCCCTTCCCTGCCGGATAAGGTCGCTCAGGACAAGGTCATGTCGACCTTCATGATGCCAGTGGTAGAGACCCTCGCCCTAGGAAGCCGAGGCCTGCTCTTCTCTGCCGAGGACATCAGGGAATGGGCACATGACGTTCGTGAATGGGCACAACGGTGTTTTGTTTCATTGGAAACACTAATGTTACGCTCTCTTCGGAGAGACGAAAAGCAGCGTTATACCGTATTAACGGTAAATTGGCAGACCTTGGCACAAAGGAGATTGGGCCCCAGGCACAAGGAAAACTATTTGGCAAACCGTTCCTCAAGGAACTCAATAAACACGTAAACGTGTTCACCTCCCTTAATAAGGCGCAATCCTCTATGCGCAGAGTTTTCAGGAGCAACCCTACCAGAGGGGTTTTTGGAAGGGCTGGCCGGCAGCGGGGCCGTGCCGCCAGCCGCTTTTGGCCTTCAGGCCCCAGCACCCAACCAACACCGTCCTACCCGACAAGGGACTATCGGCAGCAACCCTTTTCCAGAGGCTCGGATAGAGGTCGTGGACCCCGCGGACGCGGGCGTTCCCGCTTTGCTGCAGGTAAGGACCCATATTCCTCCACTGTTACCATGCACCCGCACTGCGGGCCGTATTTCCCTTTCTTTCCAGAATTGGGCCGCCCTATGCTCAGACACATGGATCCTACAAACAGTACAGGGATATATCATAGACCTAGTGGGGACCCCCTTTCAGGTTCAGCCCCCTCGCCCCATCCACATGTCGTCCTCCGACCACAACCTCGTCAACGCGGAGCTACGCGAGCTCCGAGACAAAGGGGCCATCCAGCCGGCCCACGACGAGGGTGGTTACTTCAGCAACATCTTCCTGGTTCGGAAAAAGTCAGGAGAATACCGACCGGTCATCAATCTACGCGCCCTCAACGCACATGTGGTCTATCGCCACTTCAAGATGGAGGGCATCCACCTCCTGCGAGACCTTCTTCGAAGCAACGACTGGTTCACCAGGCTCGATTTGAAAGATGCATATCTGTCAGTCCCGGTGCACCCGGACTGTCGAGCACTCCTACGTTTCCTCTGGCACGGACGCCCTGGGCAATTCACTTGCCTCCCTTTCGGGCTCAGCTCAGCCCCATGGTGCTTCACCAAGCTTCTAAAACCAGTGGTGGCCCACCTGAGATCCAGGGGCAGTCGATACATCATCTACTTAGACGACCTTCTCCTTTTCTGCTCCGACGAACACAGACTACGCCAACACACTCACTTGGCAGTGTCCCTACTGGAATCTCTGGGTTTCGTGGTAAACCAACCCAAATCGGAACTGACCCCTACTCAGACGATACAATTCCTCGGCTTCGAGATCGACTCGACGACATGCACTCTGAGACTACCAGCCTCAAAGATGACAGCCATTCGCAAGGAGATTCGCAGGGTTCTCCGTCTCGACTCCATTCCACTACGCAACCTGGACAGGATTGTAGGTCTCCTCTCTGCTCCCATTCAAGCCATATTTCCAGGTCCCCTCCACTACAGGGCCATGCAACGTCTCAAGGCGAAATACCTACGCCACAGACCTACTTACGACCAACCCGTCCCGGTGACGACGGAGGTTCGCGAAGAACTATCATGGTGGCTGGACAGCATGCAAGCCTGGAACGGCAAGGCCATATTCGGAGACACTCCAGACTTCGTATTGGAATCAGACGCCAGCCTGTGGGGATGGGGTGCCACCAACGGAACCATCTCCACGGGAGGGACATGGACGGCACAGGAGCTCTCCATGCACATCAATTGTCTCGAACTCCTGGCGGGATCCTTTGCGACCCGCAGCCTGGCCCGGGAAAGATCCAACTGCTGCATCCTCCTGCGCATGGACAATGTCTCCGCAGTCCAGTACATCAACCATCTGGGAGGCGCTCGCTCACGCCTACTGTCGGATATCACAAGGGACATCTTCGACTATTGCCCCTCGCAACAATCACCAGACCCCGGAGTTCTTCAGCTGGCTCCCGGACCCGGAGAGCAAGGCGACAGACGCATTTCTCCAACAATGGCCGATGACAGGAGCCTACGCCTTTCCCCCATTCTCCATGATTGCGAGAACACTACACCAGATGCGGACGCAACAGATCAAACTGGTTGTCATAACGCCCTTGTGGCAGAGCCAACTATGGTTCCCGGACCTCCTGGCCTCCTCCTACAGGGACCCTCTCCTCCTTCCATACTTCCCGGACCTGCTCACGGATCCCAAAGGGTATCTCCACCCACTACTCCTGGAAGACCGGCTACCCCTGGTGGCTTGGTCTCTTTCCGGGGTTCCTGGCGAGTCAGCGGACTATCGCAGACTGCTAGGGACCTCTTATGGGACTCATGGGCCCCGGGAACTAGACGCTGTTACCTTTCAGCTTGGGCCTCCGGGTCTACTTGGTGCATGGAACGGGACTCCGATCCCTTTACTGCACCTATTCCCATGATTCTTAATTTTCTTTCCTCCTTGTTTTCATCTGGCCGCTCTTACCGTTCGGTCAACGTCGTTTGCTCCGCGATTTCAGCGGCTCACACCCCCGTCGGGGATCTCCCGGTCGGCAAAGACCCTCTGGTCTGCCGTCTACTCCGTGGTATGCGGCTCCGCCGCCCCCCGGCCCCCAGATACCCTCACCTATGGGATGTGGGACTGGTTCTCCGTTTTTTCAGGGATTGGCTTCCGAATGACCGCCTCTCCCTACGCCAACTATCCGCTAAGTGCGCTTTCTCCTTTGTCTAGTATCTTTCCGACGGGTTTCGGATGTTAGGGCCTTCGACGTGGACGCTTTCGAGGTGGCCCCGGAAGGGGTCACGTTCCACATTTCCCGCCGCACTAGGTCGGGTTCGACTTCGGTCTTCTACCCCTTTTTCCCCCGACGACCCGCAACTCTGTGTCGTGTCCACCCTTCGCAGGTATGTTTCCGTTACCTCCTCACTCCGATCCTCTACGTCGGGCCAACTCCTAGTCTCCTACGTGCGCCCTCACGCCCCAGTCTCGGTCACCACACTGGCCCAATGAATACGCTGGATCCTTTCCCTCGCAGGTATAGATCCCGCGTTCGGCGCCCACTCCGTTCGCGGTGCGACGGCTTCATCAGCCTTCCTGGCAGGGGCGTCCCTCTCGGATATTCTCCGAACGGCGGACTGGTCTAGGGAATCCACTTTCCGTACATTTTATTTTCGCACTCCCCCTTCTGCTGGGATGTCACTTCTTCAGCGTTAAAATTGCAAAATAGGAAGCCTCCTGTCATGTTATAAAATTGAAGATTATGCTAGCTTTAGTGTACTAATAATCTTAATTTTAATAAGGACAGGAGGCGAGTATTTTCCCTCCCTTTTGTTCCCTACCCTGACTCCTCGGGGGAGTGGATCTTAAGGTGATGGACTTTGGGATTCATATTAGTAGTTCCACTATCTTCTGGACATATTCGGTATCCCTTCCATCTCTATCCCCAGTGTTTCCACCTAGACGGACAGTTTAGTTGTACAACATGCTTACACCTAACACATATTTATCCTATGGCCAGTTTACAATCTGTCTGTACTGTTTAATTTACACCATTCTGTTAAAGCCCACAGGCATGAACAGTTACGGTTCAGTACCTAACCGATTTTATACTCTCCTTTCAGTGTAACCCTCTTCAGGACCTCCACTGGTCGATGGTTCGTTAACCTCACAACTCCGTAAGATGGGATGACGGCTTTGTTTGGTCTTTCCTCCTATCTCGTTACCAGGAGTCTCCTCAAGTTCCGCTCGCCAGAGACCGCAGTTACTGTTTCGTTGAGTTTCTGGATGTTCGAGCTCTATCTGGACTTGGATGTCGCTTTAAGAAAGAGGAAGTGTACAGGCAGCATGACCCTTATATACTATGCTGCTCAGTGATTTATTTGTTACTCTTTACGTTTTTCTTTACTGCTGTGGAGTTTAGTAAAGAGAGTTAATGCAAAATACTCGCCTCCTGTCCTTATTAAAATTAAGATTATTAGTACACTAAAGCTAGCATAATCTTCAATTTTAGCTGCTCACTATTAGCCAGTGACTTTACATAAACTTTGCCGTCAAAGATCAGAATATTGATAACTTGTCCCTCATTTATAGCTTTGTATTTTTTAAGCAAAAACTAATTATGTTTCAGTTTGGTAGGAACTAATAATATTTATTTATTGTTTAAAAAAAAAAAAAAAAATCCCTTTTGAAATATGTTACAAATGTGCTTCCCAAAGTATACATTTTGTTGAAACATAAACATAAAATCCTCATCTGCAATATTTTCCGGATTCTTATTAACTTTATTTTGAACATTTCATTCAGAACCAACTATAGTACAGATAGTATGAATGTTGTATTAGTTAAAGGGACAGTTTAGGCACCATAACAAAAAGTATTTTTTTACATATCGTGTAAATTAAATATTGTTTTACTTTATCATCACATTTAGTTTTCTTTTTCTAAATAAAAAAAAATTAAGGGTGTTTGGAAATGGAACTCCGACACCCATGATATTCTTCTATTATTTAAAACAATTAAAAAAAATGTAAAGAACAAAAATAAGCGAGTTAAGACCCTACTTGCAAAAAGAAGGTCAAATGGATAAACTGGAAAAAGAATCTTCAGCATGAATGAGTTGGTGAATTTTAGGATTCGCATCATGTATCAATAAATTGCTAGCCATGTGAGTGCTGTATTGTTCTGATCACAGTAACATGTATGGAATCTTTAGCTAGCCACACTAACACCAAAGTACATCAGTAATTACTGGCACATGGGAGGGACGGGACATGGGGATTGCAGTAGTGCAGAGTGAAAACCTGGGCTCCAGTCATGTGGGTTTTTTTCTAGTGGCACAGAGGAGGGATGGTGCTAATGGCACAGGGGTCGATTTGTGCTTGTCGCAAAGGAGAGGGGCTAGGCTTCTGCCATTAAAAGATTGTGATAGGGGCCTCAGGAAGGGATCGTTACGGTAGCATAAGAAATTAACTGGGCTACCGGCATGGGCAGTTGGGCTAGTGGCAAAGAAGAAGCACCCCCTACTTACAGAACTTGCAATTCTGAGCCATGGTTCAATGTGTTTGCTTTATTTTCCATTTACAATTACAGGGCAATGTATCGTTACATGGCTTATATGACTTTATTATTCCTCTTGTTAATATTTATCTTATCGTTCACCAACACCCTTGTCTGACTCAACAGACTGCTCTCTTAACTACTATAAAGTATGTGTTCTCAGGATCATGCTATCTACTGGAATGAATGACCTAATACCTGTACAACACCATATAAGTCTGCCTAATGGTGCTCAGTCTTTCTAAAGCAACAAGGGCTGTTTTGTTGGATATACTATAAGACAATTTTCTCTACACATATCTCCTCCTTACAGGTGCCTAAGCATAGTCACCAAATGTTGCTATTTGTATATTCATTAAGGGTGCCAAAACAGTGCCAATCTCTCTACAAGGCACCTTACTTTTAAATGTAGAACTGTCACTCCTGATTTTTCATAAAAATGTAACCCTTATGAAAAACTTCCTATACATAGCTTGGAGTTATATTGGAATTCAAGATTAATTCTGGATGAGTGTATACATGCACGCATACAGAAAAAGCAAAACATAGTAAAACACAGATATTGATTAATCTCTGCTGCCCTTGCGTTTTACTATCTGATATGGAATGTGACAATTGATGGGAAAAGACAAGATTTAATAATGCTTTCCAATAGGGAAGTCTAATGTGTACGCGGCCATTTCCGCGCATGCACATTAGTTCTCCCCCGTTGGCTAACGGCGGCAGGGGAGGAGCCTGGGCGGAGCCTGACCCAGCACCGAAGGGACATCGGCACTTGATTCAGGTAAGTGACTGAAGGGGTTTTAACCCTTCAGCTGCGCGGGAGGGGGAGTGCGAGGGAAGGGGGGACTTATTAAACCTATAGTGCTAGGAAAACGGCATTGTATTCCTGGCACTATAGCATCCCTTTAAGAAAAAATATGTTTCCTCAGTTTTGCATTTAATAATTTCCACAAAACAAATACAATTAAAAAAAAACAACTCACAATAGATTCACCTGATTATAAAAATGGCCAACATGTCTAGCATTTCTATAATTTTGGGGAAATTATAGAACTAATATTGCAATGAGTAAATTGTATTTTTTTAGGCTAGACCTCTGCAAAATTTGGTACGCTGAGATTACCACTTTAAAAGTAGCCCCAAAATATAAAACTGAAACACAAATGTATATATTTGTAGAAAGTAAATTCCCCATGAATATTTAACTAAGAGCATTTTGACACTTTTCATTTAACCATTTCAGCACCAACCTCAATCTATTCTGTCAGTTATATTTCATTTTTGTGTTTTTCACACGTGTTTTATTTTCAAAAGGATATTTCACAGACAAGAGCAGCACTGAAGCTGGATAACCGACTCTGCAGTTATGGTACAGGTAGTCCAAATATAAATATATATTAAAAAAAATATATATATAAAAACATCACTAATTTTAAAGAGGAATTGATGGAGTGAGGTTTAGCTCTGCTTATTCATTGAGATGTAAATATTGGTCAGAATCATATGGAGAACGTCAAATGAATACTGCATGACTCTCCTAGATAAATACAATTGCAATACCTTTGTTTCTTCATTTTAAAAATAAATAAATTAAAAATGGGGAACATCACACTGGGAAATCAGGACCAGTGTTTTCTGCGCTCCAGCCTTTAAAAGACTTCTTAATGGACTCCGAGAAGTCTGTGATTGGACAGGGGCATGCACAAGCAAGTGGCCTACAAGGATTCTCAATGAGAAGCACAGAAGGGAAATTCTATGTCATGGTAAATTTGAGAAGGTTTGCAGTTGCTGCAGATACAAGATCTGCAGCTATTGAAAATCAAGGTTTCATATAGTCCAAAAGAAAACATTAAAAAGGAATTATGCGTTGTACAGAGTAACTGAACACAATCCAACAGTATACCAAGGTACCTAAAAGCTCACTTATCAAGATGCTGAATGTCAGACCCCTTTAATAATGAACAAATTATTCTCACGGGCAATTAGCATAAAAGGAGTCACATCTTCACAGCCAATATAAGCGACTATAAACCAAAACTGATACTTGTTAACTATACTTTTTGAAGAAAAAAACAATGACTATATCTGACACCTGGTCATCGCTAGAGTAAAATAATTGTATATAGTAAGTCATTTACTTTAAGTGCACACCCCAATGCTATGCCGGTAGCTCTGATGGTCAAGTTACCCTCTCACTCAATACAAGTGGTGTCCAGTAATATATCTTTGTTTTGTGTGAAACTGAATCTTACATATATATTTTATATATATCTCTAGGTTAGGCAAGTACCAGGAGTATATGTTTAGCTATCAAACAGATTAGAATATGCTTCTCCTAAAAAATGGATACACTATGCCTCTAGGCAGTAAGACACCCTGTATAGAAATTAGAGTTCAGCTTTCACTACGAGTTTCAATTGATTGAGTATTTGTATTGCATTAATAATTACAGATATCCCAGAACCAGGTTATACAGTAGCAGTCCAGTAAGGGCCCTCCCTATAGTATACCTGTGTTACCTGAACAGGTGAGTCAGGAAGGAAGGAAGAATAGTAACAGACCTGCCCTGGGCACATATTACAGAGACTGTTAATTTGTGTTGGAGTGACAATGTATAATAAATACGTTGTTGCCATTTCAGACAGCAGTCGCAGCTCAGTAAGCTATTGGATCTGCATGGTTAAGCCCTGGGTAGATAGATATATTTAGGTCAGGCTGTCTGTGCTCCATGTAAGGCAGATGCAGTGTCTGACAGTGTGCCAAGCACATACAATACATGCCAGGTGGGGGGAACATGCAGACATTGACAAAGGGTATCACATTCTCACCATGCAAATCAGGAAGAGAGGGGTTCTGGGGTCCAGCCAGTGTGTACAGGGGATCTCCATAGTCAGTGCTTCCCTCCTAAGACATGCACAGCCACACTTCTCTCTGTCTCAGTATTCTGCATAGAGGCGGGGACAGCCTGCCAGGTGGAAGGGGAGATTGACTGAGAGACGTGTATGTTTACTGAGGCAGGTGTCTCACCCTCCTCCTCCTCCACTCACAGGGATCCAGGGATGGTCAGTGCTCCTCCCCTTGCATAGGAGATGGTTTAGATAAAAAACCTGTTTAGATGGGTGCTGAGAATGCATTATACAGGAACTAGGGGGGGATAAATGCTTGAACTCTTTGTGTGCCAGTGTAGTTTTTAATATATTGTGCTTGTGAAGCGAGGCCAGTGTTGACCATTTTTGCTACGTTTTACATTTATTTATTTTTTTTAGCAGAACTGGCACTTGAGAGTGTTTTGCGTAAATTGGTAGGTACTTAAAATTCTAGGTGCTGTGCTTTAAAAAATTTGCATTTGTTTTTTTTAAGTTTTAATTTACACAACTTGCTTGGCTGTCTTGGCACAGCGAGGGCATACAATGTAAATGAATTCAACCCCCATCCCTCCACTGTGCCAAAAGTGCGAGGATATAAATGTACATGGAACTAGGGAACGAATGTCCATTGTCCAGGCATTTATGTGGTCATTTAACACTTTTTAGGTAGAAGATGGAGTACACATCAGCATTCTAAAAGCTACATGACAGTTGGTCAGATAACAGTGGAATCTATTCTAACATGAGCAAAAAAAAATAATTAAGTTTCAATACATGTCATAAAATTAAAAAAACTACCTGAGAAGTGAACATTTGGTGACAGCTGTCCTTTAACTAAGATGATTTTGACACTTTAAAAATAATTTTATCACCAACCTGTTCCAAATTTCCTGATTAGGTTTAATTTTCATGGCAAATGTCACAAAGTCAAACCATTTATTTCTCATTACAGTAAACACAGTAAATTTTATCCTGCCACAGCCATGAGAACAGCAATATCCCCATTCATGTAGTTATAGTATCACATTGTAGGCATGCCAAGCTTTCAAATTCTCCATATTCACCAACTCATTTACCTGGCTTATATCTCATTTGAAACAAAACAGAAGTCCAACAGGGCACTTTTCATCCTGCCATGACATTTTGCATAACTTGGGGCTTTTATATGGAGGCTTTTCAATTTGCCATTTCAATAGAAATTCTGCTGTAGTTATTAGTAAATTGGTTTAGTTGTATTAAATATTTAGCAAAGGAAATCACAATCCAGTTCATGCCTGGCACAGTCAGGGCACACATTGCAAATGAGGAGAAGAAACAGAAATATTGTTTTATGCATGTTTTCTCTATGCTGACTGTCAGGTGGAAACGACAGAATTTATAACAATGGCTGACAGGGAGCTAGGATGGAGGAACCCAGATGCAGGATAAAGCGATGTTATTTTTTGCATTTCATTTTAATTTTCACCCTTCATAGGGCATATTTGTTAAACATAGGCATAAGTAAGCATAATCTTAAAAAATAATGGGATGTGACAGTTTCCCTTTAAATTCACTACAATTAAATGTGCAGCCGGTTTATTCACTTAACATCTGAGTTGGAGAAATTTTCTCATCAATTATTTTATTTTAAATTCTACTATTCATATTTGAGTTTACTACACTTCAAGATTAATTTCCACTAGAACTCGCTTAAAATGTAGCCTTTAGTACATATTTAACAAGCAAAAACAGAAAAAGAAAGAAAAGAAAATAACACCTCTTTTACATTCTGTTGTAGTTCTAAAACATGCAATGTAATTATCATATCAATATATGTCTCTTGGTTCTATGGAACTCTGGCAAGTTCTGCCTTATTTACATAATGTTAGCCATGAGTAAAGCAAGGGTGAGATTCCAGAACCTTGTGACGTCACCGAAAAGGGGGACGGCTTTTATGAGTCTCTTTAAGCAGCCAATCGGGTCCCAGCATACACTGGTGAGGTTCTAAACACAGAGTGTAGATTACTTCCTGGTTGGAATCACGTGGTCTGTGCCCTCTGCAGTCAGTGACAGACATGTCTAGAAATAGCAGAATAGTGCTCATTTTCGGGGGTTTTATCACTGCAGTGGCAGCAGCTTTTTACCCTATATATTTTTACCCTATGAAGCACATAGATGAATACAGTAAGTGGAATTGGGATGTATGTAAAGCAGCAGTGGTGGTGAAGGACTTGGGTTGCACTGCATTATATAACCCCCTATTGCTGTTTGGGAGGGGGTTATTGTTATAATAATGTCTCCTGCTAAAAGCTGCATGGTCACTCTGAGTATGTACCAATAAATACAAAATATAGAATCCTGCACAGATGTTTTAATAGTTGTTTATATTTAAAATTGCATAACATTTTAAAACGTTACATCTTAATAACCTATATTAAATAACTGGTACACCAGCACGTGTAATCTGTTTGCTTTAAGTGAACAAACTTCTCCTTTAAAGGGACTAAATTTAAAATCTTGCCACCCAACATCTAAAGGATGTAGTAATACAGATGATGTTGAAGTTGGCTTCTTATTCAGTGATAGAAGATAGCTTGTTATTCATCTAACTTTTTTATTTATTCATAATGTATGTAAATATTATGACCGGTGAAATATAAATATTACTTGATTAATACAGTATTCATATACAAACCATATTTCTACACATTTCTGATATAATAATGAAAACATTAAAATTGTTAATTATTCAGAAATCCCCATTGTAATGCATTGAGTCGATGGTGCCACTTTGGTGATAGATTTTGATATTAAATGTTTGACTCAGGCCAAATGTTGTTGGATGATCTAGAGGGGCCCCAAGTGTATTGAAATCAATGGAATTTTGGGTGAGCCAAGATGGTTTTCATATAGGGAAACCTTGGTTACTTATTCAGAAATCCCCATTGATATGCATTGAGTTAATGGTGCCACTTTGATGCCAGTTTTTAATCAAAATTGTGGTTTGGTTCATGCTAAATATTATTGTATGACAAAGAGGGGTCCCCAGTGGATGGGGGGGATTTAGTTTAAATGGCCTTAAATGGATTTAGTTTAAATGGCCTTAATTTAATGGTGGCATCTTGATGCTCCCTTTAAGTGGCAAATGTGTTATTTATTTTGGAGGCAGAAGATACAATGTACTACTTTACAGAAACAAGAGCCAATTTGAATGAGCCAACTTTATGTAGCTAATAACATTGTTTATTATTTTTATTGTTTTCATTATTATATCAGAAATGTGTAGAAATATGGCTTGCATATGAATACTGTATTAATCAAGTAATATTTATATTGCAGAGTTCATAATATTTTCATACATTTTGAATGAATAAAAAAGTTAGATGAATAAGAAGCTATCTTCTATTTCTGAATAAGAAGCACACTGAATAAGAATTTAACTTCAGCCTGCGAATAAGAAGCTAACTTCAACATTATGTAATACAAATATTTTTTTTTTAAATTACTGTTTACCCAGTTGTGGCGAAACTAACCTCGCCACTGGGTTATGGAGAAGCCTGATTGCCAGCCTCATGACTATGGACCCTCTCATCAGCCCATGCTAGACTTAAACCCCATGGCGATTTGACTGTGGGATCTGTGCGCTGTTTGGATATATTTAGTGCTCAGATCCAAGCCATCTGGTGATAGGTTGAATGTGGGGGTTCTGTTCAGTATGATAGGAATGATGTATTTTTGTGTATTTTTGCTGTTGTTGTGAATAGAGACATTTTCTGTACCTGGAGATAGTTGGCTTACCACAACCAGTTAAGCCAATTATCTCCAGGATAGAGGACTCTGTGGAACTGGTTTTGGATGGAAAGCCATGCTTCAGTGGTCACAAAGGACTTTGACCTAACTTTTAAACCAATGGAAGGAATTGTCTGATTTTTTGAGTAGGTTTTTGTTTGCAGTATGCTGATTCTGAAAATGTTATGTGAATGTGATGTATACTTTTAAAGTTACAGTACATGTGTAAAAACTGTATTTCTCTGCCTGTGATAATTACATTAACCCATTGTGTTCAGTAATTATATCACAGGCAGAGGGGAGGATTTTGTGTGGGAGTGTCTGAGTGTATTGTACATATTGACTGGTTGTTCTGCAAAACCCTGTGGCCGGTACTATGTTTGTAAAATGTGCATAAAAGCAGAGTGTTTGATTAAAAGCTTCAGTTCTACTTCACTCTCAATTTGGAGTGCCGTCTCTTATTGGGGGAATCTGCTACAAGGGATTGCTATGCTTGTCATACTCCCTTGCTAAATCACTACTAAGCTCTTGTAAGAGCTTGTTCCTGCCTTGCTCTCTGGAGGAGTCTACGGTGATTATGGTGTCGGCTGCAGTGCTTGGAGCCCTCAGAAAGTGCTAGGGCACCCGTCGATCAGTTACACCAGTGTTTACTGCATAATTGCTGTATTGTTTAATAAAAAAAAAAAAAAAAGTGTGCTTTTTTTTTGGGGACAGGGGGGGGGATGTATGTTGTAAGAATATAAAATATACAAAATAGAGCAAAATGCAATACAATAAACAAAATAATTCTATCAAGATATTTTCACAACCTCTTATAATCCAGTACACTTTGTTAAATATGGTCCAAAGACATTTCCTTTTTTACTTTTTCTTTCTGATAAAATTACATTAACTTAATAAAAGTCCATTTATGCCGCTTTCCCTAACCTGCAATATTTTGTATTAGCTGAAAGTATGCTGTACATGTCAGTGCCTAGTTTTCTAGGAATTGTAATTCATCTGCTAGCTTTGACAGTCAAAAGTTTACAATTGAACTGCAACTCTAAGAACTAATTCAATAAAAGTGATGAATAGTGAGCACCACAAATACAATTATCTATAGAGCGCCAACTTATTCTGAAGCGCTGTACAATGTGTAAAACAAGACAAACGTTTAATTCTAACAAGATCCATACCCAAATAATCATACAGTCTAAAGCCAAGTGAGCATCAAGAAATGCTAGCAAATTAATAGATTTTGAGTTTTGAGCTATAAAGGTGTCCATTCAACGGGCAGAGCCTGCATGCAGACCTAACCAGACGCCATTTGCTTGAGCTCCTCCAAACTTGAATCAAATCCACCCGATCCTGGCAAAACCAAAGCCAATCCAACTAAATAATCCACAGAACCAGCAAGCTGAGCGGAGCAGGTTGATGCCTCTTTTCCAACCGCAGAAGGAGCCCAAAGGGCGCCGCAAGACCAAGGCCTACCGCACGCCACAGATTCTTGACATCGAGGCACTCCTCACCACAGCCTTTGCCGAACCCACAAGAGGGACCACTCTAACACACATGCCAGCCATGGACCAAAGGTTGCAGAAACCCACCTCCGGGTCAGATACCCGAGACATCGGGGACATGTTGCGGCCGGCGCAGCCGCGACCTACCCCAACACCCGGGGAAACATGGAAGGCAGCAGGAACCGAGGCGGCCACAAGGGAGCTGGAGGTACCACCCACCACCCAGACCACACTCGCCTTGTCCTTAGACACCTCCGACGACTCCGCTTCACAAAGGGAGACCTGAAGGTCCTCCTAGCCAACATACACCAAATCCTGGCGGCAGACTCCACTAAGCTAAAACTGAGCTGCAGGCGGTCAAGAAGAGGGTGAGAACTAATGAAGACAATATAACTACTACCCAAGCCATACTCACTGCAGTACAGGACGCTGTCCAACAACTACCAATGAACCAGAGGGCCCTATCTGCAAAAATCAATGCCATGGAGGACCGGCAACGCCGCTCACATAAAACTCAGAGGTATCCCTGCTGCTGTGACCGCGGAGGAATTACCTCATTATATACAGCGCCTCCTGGCCACAATACTGCCGCCAAATACAGCACGCAAACTAAACATAGATGGACTATACTGCATTCCCGCGACGGTTCGCACTAAAACTAACACGAACCGAGATGTCATCCTGCGATGCCTCACAACTCGGGACAAAATACAAATCATGCTACAGTCAAGGGGAAAACACCGCTCCCATTCGAAAATTCTACGCTGACATTCTTCCAAGATTTAACCAGCGCAACCCTATGGTGGAGGAAATCTTGTGGACCCGTCACCACCCAGCTATGTTCGGCAGGCCTACCATACCGGTGGGGGACTGACCACTCCTATCAGGGTCATGCAAGCTGGCACCACCTGTGTACTACATACCATGGACGAGGCAGACACCTTCTTGCAGCAGCTGGGACTGCCCGCTTTACCAGCAACCCCGGGACAGGCCGAGAGCTCCTAGGACTCGACCACAATTAAACCCTTTGTCCCACGCAACTCAGAAGCGTCTCCACAAGCGACGGGATAAGGACTGACCTCAGCCGGGGACTAAGAGGCTGGAAGCCTAACACCCAGCCATACAAATTGGTCAAGACTCTCTGTGACTGACCCTATCTGCCCGCGTAACCCTGTTTTGATTCTAGTTTAATTGTTCCCACTGTTGTCCCCATTAACACCTCCACGACTCACGAAGACCCCATGACGACAAAAGCCAGACAGAAATAAAAACACACCGCACTCGCACACATTAACGAGTTAAAGCAAGCCCATAAAGAGGGCACAAACCTGACCCCATACTCTACATGGCATTCTGACCACCCCGCCACCCACGAACACCCCCAACAAAGAAGGGGCACTACACACACCGGCATTGACTTTCATAACATACCGCCTTTAAGGCGGCAAACCCACTGACACCATATCGTCACAAACCTCCGATACAACGCGACAGTTATCCACCGTGTCACTAAGCATGACCCATTACACAAGCACAGGTCTACAAACACCAGACCCACTGAACGCAACTGACGCACCCACATAGACCAACTAACAAAGCTCGAGGCAATGTTGCCGGGACACTGTCCCACGCCCGCCAGACAGAATGGCACTCTAACTAAACAGTGACTCGGTTACCTTGTTAAACTTGTACTCCTGTGAAAAATAACAAAAGATAGTGTTTAAGACAGACGCTTACCTTGTATTGTACCTGTTGAACGTTATTACTTACCATGTAACCATGCCGCACTACAAAAAATAAAGAATTATAAAAAAAAGTATCCATTCAAATTGTTTTGTGTCAGGGCAAGTAGATTTATTTTTAATTCTATATCATTTCAACATCCATGACCTAATTTGGTAATGTACCCGGTATTTTGATGACCATAGCAGCTTCACACATTGCACTGTTTTTACACGCATTATGGCCTTCAATATAACAAGTTTAATAAATGAGACATATCTGGCTGCGTGGATTAGCATGAAATGGTGGCACTATACCATTGTCTAAAATGGTGGAGCAGCAGTGACCACATCTACATTGTAATTGTTGTGGAATACTTTGTTTTGAAGTGATGATATAGTAACTGGTAAATTACAAGATATATATATCCTCATGCACATTTGTGTCCGTGTAGGAGCTGGAGAACCTGTAAATATAACTGGAACTGATAATGTTTTTTCCGACTTTTTTTTTTTTTTTAAACCAGAGAAAAGAACAAGCTGTAAATCGGGCTGATGTGGTTCAGGAAGACGTGCAGCCAGTTGGTAAGCTGTATTTGTATTTTTTTTTCTTCTTTAAAAAAAAAAAAAAAGTATTGGATTTTAGTATAAGTGATACCTATCTATGTATAAAGGGGCTGTCACATATGTAGATTGTCTCACTCACATATTTCTGAGCCACATATAGTTGGCTCAGACTTTAGAAAACTCTGTTAGATATCCTTCTGTTTGGTTCCTGCATTTCTCATAGTTTGCAACCTCACCACTGTTTCCAAGTCTGTATTCAGGATGGACACCAGATATATCCAATTGTAGTAATTCCCACACTATATTAGTAAAAAACACAAGCAAAAAAAAAAGAGAATAAATGTAAAAGTTGAATGCACTGACTTGTTTCATAATGTCTATGAACAGTCTAAACTGTTGTCTTAAACAGCTGTATCTCTTACTGATGGGATGTTGCTGGTATTTAAGTTTTGGACTGCCAATATGGGAAACGCTCTTTGATGACAGCTGACTATCAATCTATCAGTCATTTTCTCATCTTCGTTCTGAATAAATTTTTAAGGACCTGAAAGGTGTCTGTTTTGTCTTTGTCCTTGCCGACCATATACAATAAAAGATAATTGAATTTAACCCCTTAAGGACGGGGTTAAACGTTATGAACAAAACAAAATGTAAACAAAACCTGGCATTTGCGCTACATGTCTGTCCAACCGTAATTCACCTCTTTCATAGTAAATGCACCCACCCTTATTATATATCATTTTATTCAGGGGAAACAGGGCTTTCATTTTATATCAAATATTTAGCTATGAAACATAATTTAATATGAAATAAATGGGAGAAAATATGATTTTTTTTGATTTTTTTAGTTCTACATGACATTTTAACGGTCAATGTCATAATACTGTTTGCTTTTACTGCAATAAAATACACATATTTGTATTCAGTAAAGTCTCACATGTAAGACAGTACCCCCTATGTACAGGTTTTATGGCGTTTTGGGAAGTTACAGGGTCAAATATAGCACATTACATTTGAAATTGAAATTCACCAGATTGGTTACGTTGCCTTTGAGACTGTATAGTAGCCCAGGAATGAAATTTACACCCATAATAGCATACCATTTGCAATAGTAGACAACCCGAGGTATTGCAAATGGGGTATGTCCAGTCTTTTTTAGTAGCCATTTGGTCACAAACACTGGCCAAAGTTAGCGTTAGTATTTGTTTGTGTGTGAAAAATGCAAAAAACGCCAATTTTAGCCAGTGTTTGTGACTAAGTGGCTACTAAAAAAGACTGGACATACCCCATTTGCAATACCTTGGGTTGTCTACTATTGCAAATGGTATGCCATCATAGAGGTAATTTTCATTCTTGGGCTACCATAGGGTCTCAAAGGCAACGTAACCAATCTGGCGAATTTTAATGTGAAAAAACTGTAACGCAAGCCTTATATTTGACGCTGTAACTTTTGAAAACACCATAAAACCTGTACATGAGGGGTACTGTTGTACTCGGGAGACTTCGCTGAACACAATTATTTGTGTTTCAAAACAGTAAAAAATATCACAGCAATAATATCGTCCGTGTAAGTGCTGTTTGTGCATGAAAAATGCAAAAACGTCACTTTTACTGGCGATATCATCGTTGTAATACATTTTACTGTTTTGAAACACTAATATTTGTGTTCAGCGAAGTCTCCCGAGTAGAACAGTACCCCCCATGTACAGGTTTTATGGTGTCTCGGAAAGTTATAGGGTTAAATATAGTGCTAGCAAATTAAATTCCCTTTACTTTTGGCATGGGTTGTCAGGCAGGTCCTGCTAATTGTAATTAATTAAGATACCTAATTATGTAAAAATATTACATAAATATATATGTAGAATTAATATATGTAAATATATACGTGTGTGTGTATATATCGATATCATTTTTTTTTAAAATATTTTTATTTATATATATATTTATATATATATATATATATATATATATATTCATTTCACAATACAGTTAGAACGAAATAACACACATCTATATATTTTTTAATTATTTATTTTTAATTATTTTTTAATTTTATTTTTTAACGTATTTACATTTTTTTTAATATATTATATATAAATATATATCTAACAATAATTATATATTTAATCAGTATCAGTCTACGTGTAATTTGATATTCATATAAAATATATATATATTAATAGTAAAATACACCTAGACGGTGTACGTGTGTGTGTGTGTGTGTGTGTGTGTGTGTGTGTGTATGTATATGTGCATATATATACTTAGAATATATATATATATATATATATATAATGATCTAAGTATATATTTTATTTTTTTACACTATTTATTTTATTTTTATTTTCAGCCAGCTACCCCCGGCCATGTGATTGTGGGGTCTTCGAGGGGGGTCTTCGAGGAGGACGGACGTGCCGCGGGGGGCTCCCTGGGAGTCCCCCTGCGATCGCCGGCGACCAGGTAAGTACCGAAAGACCGGAGGGTGTACTATTACGCCCGGCGGCGTTTAGAGCCGCTTAGAATAGGGCGTAATAGTACGCCCTCCGGTCTTAAGGGGTTAAAGGGACACTATACTCACCATAACAACTACAGCTTAATGTAGTTGTTCTGGTGAGTATAATAGCTCCCTTCAGGCATTTTCATGTAAACACTGCCTTTATATTGCCTCTGGGGACACCTCCAAGTGGCCACTCCTTAGATGTGATTCCTGGGTCAGTGCTGCCGAAAAAGCAGCCCTGACGTTCAGCGTCCCCATGCTCTGCATGGAGACACTGAATTTTCCTCATACAGATGCATTGATTCAATGCATCTCTATGAGGAGGTGCAGCTTGGCCAAAACTGCATTTTTGGCCCCGCCCTGTGCCCATTTTAGCCTATGGGAAAGCATTGGATTGGCTAAAAATCTGCCATTTTGATGTCACAAAGGGGGCGGAGCGAGCGCCGGCAGACCCGAGCGGCGCTGGATATAATGAAAAAAACTTTTATAGGGTGGCAAACCACCTTAATGGTGGGTTTAACACTATAGGGTCCGGAATACATGTTTGTGTTCCTGACCCTAAAGTGATCTTTTAAGTGGTCCAGTGTTTTCTTGGTGTTGGCCATTTCTCTACTTGAACTTTAGTGTGAATTATTTGATCTCTCAACCCTCTCAGAACTACTGAATATATGTACTAAGATAACTTTTGCAATGCAGGTTTACCAGCTGCTGCTTTTTCAGGAGTAGTTCCAGTCTATTGCTGACCAGACTGCTTTCAGTTAAAAGCTGTCCCGTTTTTTTGTTTTTGCTAAATACTATGAATGCTTCTCTGGGAGAATAATACATTTGGTGTGGTGCCAATTTATTTTTATTTGTGTTTCTTTAACCCCTTAAGGACACATGACATGTGTGACATGTCATGATTCCCTTTTATTCCAGAAGTTTGGTCCTTAAGGGGTTAAAGAAGCAAACATTTTATTTTACTGCAGTTGTCATTTGAGTTCTTTATACAAATTCTCTCTTTTGTCTTATCTGGGCATAATTCCTCTTCTAAGATTGTGTTTTATATTCATTTTCATCTACTTTACATTTTGTTTGTTTCTCCTTTAGGTCTGAAAGTATGGTCTGACCCATTCGCAGGAAGTAAAAAGTAATCTGCATTACATAAAGACAAATCATTTCCTCTAAATGCTAAATTATGGAAAATCCTTCTATTTTGTCTGCTTTTGTACAAAATATAAATAAAACAAGCACTTTTGGTTTATTTGTTCTATCTCTGTTATATGAACAGCATTACAATCATGTGTATATATACAGGTTTAAGAGTTTTTAAGAGGAACCTTTTTATTTATTTGCGCTAGCTTTTTGTTTTGTCATGTGATGCCCAGTTTTATTTTGCGGTATATATTAAAGATTTAGAAAATGACTTCACAATCCTGTTCGGTCCAGACACAGCCATAACACATTATACAAATGAAAAGCAAGAGAAACATTGTTTAAGTCCCCAAAATGTTAATACTGACCTCAGGGCTCAAAATCTCGTCACTAACCAGTAAAGAGTGAAACTTTTGGGGGGGCAGAGCCAGCGGCCATACGGTGAGATTTGAGCACAAATGCTGATATTGAGTATTTAACACAGGAATTTTATCACCTAACTGCACACAAAGCTGCTATATACCTCTTTGAAGGCATGGGGCATCGTAGTAAAAAATACAAACTTTGAAACCTAGAATGTGACGGCAGATAAGAACCATTTGGCCCATCTAGTCTGTATTATTTTCTAATTACTTTTAGTAGTCCCTGGCCTTATCTTATAGTTAAGATTGCCTTATGCCTATGCTACGCATGATTAAACTCCTTTACTGTGTTAACCTCTACCACTTCAGCTGGAAGGCTATTCCATGCATCCACTACCCTCTAAGTAATGTAATACTTCCTGATACTATTTTTTAACCTTGCTCCTCTAATTTAAGACTATGTGCTCTTGTTGTGGTAGTTTTTCTTCTTTTAAATATAGTCTCCTCCTTTACTGTGTTGATTCCTTTTATGTATTTAAATGTTTCAATCATATCCCCCCCTGTCTAGTCTTTCCTTCAAGCTATACATGTTAAGTTCCTTTTAACCTTTCCTTGGTTTATCCTACAATCCATGAACCAGTTTAGTAGCCCTTCTCTGAACTCTCTCTAAAGTATCAATATCATTCTGGAGATACGGTCTCCAGTACTGCGTACAATACTCCAAGTGAGGTCTCACCAGTGTTCTGTACAAAGCTGATAGACCCCCCCGCAACCGCCGACATTGGAGAGCTCCTGAAAAGGCCGAAATCCACTGGGAGGCCTGAAATGGCACCAATGTCAGACTGGCACTCATCTAGCGACGAGATCTCGGCTGACTGGGAGGATGTCATGCCAAAAGCATGAGTTGGTGTTTGATGTGTGTTTATATATGTTAAGAGTTGTTTTTTTGTAAACCTTGGGATGACATTTATTGTGGTCTTTGATCTTGCACCAGGCCTAGACCATAAAACATCTAGATAGCCATCACCAGAGCTGGACACAAGGAATTTCATAGAGTGGGCAATAGACTGCCAGACCAGCCCCCTCTGAGGGGTCTGCCCACTGAGAAACAACTAGTTTAGCTATATGAGGGTGTTGGACTATCCAGGGAAGTCAGTTATTCATTTTTCTTTTGTCAGTAACTTCTAGGAGACCTATACCATCTAAGACTCCCACAAGAATTCTATATGGGGTAAATATATGTAAGGAATTTCTTGTGTTTTCTCCTATTTTATTTTATGTACTGTTTGCAATTTGTTATCTGTATGTCATTTATTTCTGTATTTTGTACTCAGCACTGTGAATCCTTTTTGTCAGATTAAATGTTTACTTAATCAGCTTGTGTCTCTGTTCTCTATGAGCTTCACTCTCCAGAGGAAAGCTCAGGTAAACACGTTACCAAAAAGGGGTTAACTATATATGTTTTATCAGTAAAAGTAGAACTGTGATACTATAATTCTCCTGTGTGTGGGGTAACCTAAGACGCCCGGGTTTAAAAGTCTTGGTGGTGGCAGTAGTACTAAGGGGGATAGTGTAGAAGGGATTGCAGGGGTTAATTGAGTGGTTGCTGGGACTAGCAACAGGTAACCAGGGGTCTGGTGTCATTAACCCTGTCACTTCCACACTCTCCCCACTGTCTCGGCTGGGCCTATAGCCCACGCACGTGACAAACTGGCGGCAGCTAGTGGGATATATTTAGAGATTTTTAGTGCTTGCTAGATTTTACCTGTAAAGGGGGTCTTAGCACTAAAAGAAATTGCATACTTGTTTTTGTGTAATTTCCAAAGACCAAGCTCAGTGCTGATTTAAAATACAAAGTGCAAAACAGTTCTCCCCTCCCATCTTTTGTTTTTCTTTCTCTATCCTATTTGTGAATATGGAGGCCTATCGCAAACAATCAAAAGAGGCCTTGGAATTGTTGTGCCAAGAAAAGAATTTACCAACTTTTGGCAAAAATAAGGCACAACTTATTGCTGACCTTGTGGAGGCTGACAGCCATATTTTCCAGCCAGAGACGGACACTGAAAGGGTTACCGAGCTCCCTACTACTGCAGGAGTGTTGCTTACTGAAATGCCTGGTGGTTGTACCCCTCAAAACATTAAGGACATTTGCTCAACTGATTTATTTCGGCAACTGATGGCTGCAAATCCTCAGGAGGCCCTGCATGTGATGATCCAACAGCAGGCTGCAGAAAGGGAATCTGCAGAGAGGCTAGCCGAAAGGGAGGCACAAAAGGAGACATGAGCTGGAACTTGCTAAACTGCAATTTACCCTTCAGTCCTCACTGAACAGCAATGCATCAGAGTCCAGCACACGTAGGCTCCGTAAGGATGATTTTCCTTCCCTCGAAGAAGGGACAGATTTGGATGTATTTTTAAAAAGTTTTGAGAAAGTATGCAGGCAGCATCAACTACCCTCAGACCAGTGGGGCAGATATTTAACTCCACAACTGAAAGGGAAAGCCTTGGATGTGTTTGTGTCCCTTCCCCCAGAGACTGATAACAACTATGAGGCAATCAAATCTGCATTGCAAAAAACTTTTAACCTTACTCCTGAGTCTTACAGGAAAAAGTTTAGGAGTATGCAGCAATGTCCATCATCCAGCTGCATTCTATATATTGCACAATTAGAAACCACGTTCCGGCAATGGGTAACAGGAGTACAAGCTACTACCTATGAAGCCCTTAATGGTCCTGGAGCAGTTCTTGCAGACCCGGAGCCCTAATGTACGAGAGTGGATTTTGGAAAGAAAGCCAAAAAATGCTAGGGCTGCTGCAGAACTGGCAGATGACTATGCCGACATCCATGCACCCACATCCAGGCGTGGACTTGTGTCAGCTGCTACTTCGACCTGGAAAGAAGCTACAGTTCAACCACCACCTGTAAGATCTGCAGTGAGAACTTCACCGCCGACTGCCAGCGTAGCCGGGGCTATGTCAAGTGAGTCAGATGCCCGCCATTGTTTTCGATGCAACCAGATTGGTCATCTGAGCAGGACTTGCCCCACTAGGAATATGCCCTCACCAGTCCGTGGAGGGGCATCATCAGTATTGCTTGTGGGTGGGTCCGTGGGGAAACAAGAGGATAACCTGCAGAGTGTAATTGTGGGTGACCGAGTGACCATGGGACTGAGAGATTCTGTAGCTTCCTTCACCCTGGTGCGACCTGAAGTGGTGAATACGGAGGACATAATCCCTGGAAGAACCATGTCCATCAAAGGAATTGGGGGTGTATGCCCCGCTGTGCCCTTGGCACGTGTGTACCTTGATTGGGGTGCGGGCAAAGGTTTGCGGGAAGTGGGGATTTCAGAGGATATCCCTGTTAATGTTCTGTTGGGGAATGATTTGGGCAGGATGCTCTGTCACTATGCTCCAGCGGACACTGTTTGTGAGCCAGAAGGGCTGACTGCTCCACCTAAGGTATTGTGTGAAACTTTGGGAGACATTGTGGAGTGTGATTGCTGGGAGGGAGAGCAGGGTGTGGATAAATATCTACCTGTAACTGAACCAGTGATGTCTACCAAATGTGAGATAGGGGTGAGTAGTGATGTGCCTGTATCAAAATACTGTGAGGCTGGGATGTCAGAGAGTAAGGGGGAGGAGGAAGGTGAGAGCCAGGGATGTGTACCACTAGTCGCAGTGGTAACAAGTCAACAGTGGGTCAGGGCTGCAGCAGGACAGTCTGAGGTGCTATGTGAGATTGTGAGAGGAGGGCCTGCCCTGGAGAAGAAATTATGTGAGTGTGTGCAAAATTCTGTATCTGATCAAGGGGGGTCAAATGTGTCCTGTGAAAATGTATGGGAAAAGCCTTCCAGCGAGAGGGGGCTCAATGAATATATGTGCCAATATGTGCCTGAAGCAGATGTATGTGATGTGGTGGGTGAAAATGTGAAGGGACAGCAAGGCTATGAGGGAGGGCAGAGGGTGTGTGAGCTTTACTCTGCGGCAGGCTTAGCCAGTTTCCAAAGTTCTGTATGTGTGATGACCTGTAGTGAAAGTGAGGGGCACGGACAGACTCAGCCTGTGGGTCCAGGAAGGATGGCTGCAAGGAAACATACTGTTGGAGGAACCAGGAACCTTGTCAGTTTATCACAACTCACGCATACACCTAAGCAACTTTCTGATTGTGAACCAAAGGTTCAGAGTCTGATAGTGCAACAAGCCCAGCAGACAGACCGCAAAATAAAAGAGATGATGGGTGTTGATACAGCACATCTATCCTGGGAGTGTTCTCTGTCTGCTTTTTGTGTGCTTACCGGGGAGTGCTGCAGAAATCCATTGGTTTCTTCCCCTTACAGCTACTACATGAGCGCAGTGGGTGTGGTTTAAGGGATGTTACCAGAGATCGATGGGAAATTGAAACAGGCAAATCAGGCATGCTTGAGGGTGTAGCTGTGGTATGGACTGATCACAACCTGCTGCAGGTGACAGGTAACAATGATAAACTGCTCCATTGGAGCCCTATCCTCCAACAGTATAATTTCACTGCCCGGCACAAAAAGGGCAGAATGCAGATGGCCTGTCTCGGCAACTAGAGGGTTAATGGTAGACAGATAAATCAGCCTGTGGGTGCATTTTTCTGTCCACCATCTTAAGGGGGAGGTGTCATGCCAAAAGCATGAGTTGGTGTTTGATGTGTGTTTATATATGTTAAGAGTTGTTTTTTTGTAAACCTTGGGATGACATTTATTGTGGTCTTTGATCTTGC